CATCCTGTTGTTGATGGTCATGACATGTTTAACAGAAAAAAAAACGAAAATCATGTTTCTTATTTAACCACTAAAAATGGATGTTTTCTTTTCATAGCCGCCATAATTTTTTTTTTTGGTTATAATTAACGTTATTATTATCATCATCATTATCACCTTTCGAATCATCAAGTTTTTTTTATTTAGAATGGAAGAAAAATTAATTAAAAACCAAATCAAATACAGGAATCATCCGAAACCAAGAAAAAAAATCAAATAATCAACAACAATAAAAAAAAACACAGAAAAGAAAATCGTGAACAACAACATTTTTCACACTTGTTGGTTTGTTTGTTGTCACAACCAATTCGAACTAAAAATTCAAACAAAAAAAACAAAATTTCGTGATTTACATTGGAAAATTGAATCGAAAAAAAGTTTATTTTTTTTGTTAGTTATTTAATTTTCTTTGTCACACAATTATTCACAATATGTGTGTGTTTGTGAGAATATAAATAAAGTAATTTCCATTGAATGAAGAGAATCAATCAATCGACTTTTGTTGTTGTTGTTATTATTGATGGGGATATACACGAATTCGATTCGATTAATGTTTTCTCTTCGATTCGATGATCATCATGATGAAAATTCAAGTTCAATTCTATTGTGTGATTTATAGATTCGGATACAAAAAATTGGTGAAATGATGATGATCATCAATAACTCTATCCATCTATTTTTGTTTGATCTATTCAATTCGATGAAAGCAAAAAATGAAGAAATTATTATTATTCAATGGTTGATGTGTTTGTGTGTATGTGAGTGAGGGGGTGGAACAAAATGATGAAAAATGATTCACACGATCATTATGTTTTTCCATTCAAATTGATGGTCATCTTAGTATTGATGTTTTTCGGCTTTTTCTTCTCATCATCATCATCATCGACCACATTTAGCTACATTTTAGATTGATTCAGATAGGGAGATATGAAAAATTGCTAAACACCCAACAGCAAATAAACAACAACAAAAACATACCGAACGCATGAATTGAACAATTTTTTTTGTTTGTTTGTCAAATTACCAAATTTTAGGTCCTTGAATTATAATCGAGATGTAGTGGAGTCGGGAGAGGGGAAAAAATCTCATCAGACAAGATGATAATGGTAGTAGTGGGCACCCCTGTAGATTAAGGAATGTATCTTTGGTCATCTTGTTTCCATTAAAAATATTCTCTTTATTTGAAAAATTTGATTAACCAAAAAAAACAAAAAATTTTTGTTCTGGATTTTTGTTTTGTTTTGTTTTCCACCGAAAGTCTAAAAGATAGACTGCGTGGCGTGGTTTTTTTTCTTTTCTTAATAATGTATGCCGCATGCCGAGCACAAAAAATTTTATTTGGAATACACCTATACTCAATAAGCTCTGGCCCGGTCAAGCCAGGTAAATCAGCTACCCACCTATCCCCCTTTTTCATCTAAATCAAATCTAATTGTGTGTGTATGTGAATGGTCAACTCAATTAACATTGTTTTCTTCGTTTTTTTTGAAGAAAAAAGAATTTTTTCTTTCATTTTTTTGGTTCAGGTAATATACTCTCTTTGTTGTTGCTGGGCCAGGTAATCGAATCACTTTAAGATCGAAACACTACACAAAAACACCAATCAAATAAATGATTTGGCTATTTGACTTTTGACACCTTTTTTGTTGTTGTTGATCAGTTTTTGCAGAAAAAAAAATTTAACAAATAAAAAAACAACAACAAAAAAAACCGCCATTGAAAAATAAGTGAAAAAAAAAATATTTGAGAAACCCAGGATATCACAAACAACAAACCATTGTGATTGATTGCCAATTGATCGATTCGATCTGAAATTCATGATCAGAATTCAGAAAAAAATAAAAAATCAATGGACAATGGTCAACAGTGTGTGTTTAAGTGAGTGAATAAAAGAAATGTATACATTTTTCATTTTACCTGGCCAATTTAATTACATATTTAAATTGTGTTCAGGTAAAAAAAACTTGAAATTTTTCAAAACTTTGGATACAAAGTTTTTCAATTTTTATTTGTTTGCGGCATAAAGTCAGTGTGCAAATAGCTCGCCAAAAAAAAGGATTGGCCTGTGTTAAACAACCAAACTTGAATCAAAAAAAAACCTAAAGTAAACAACAATTCGAACGAACGAAAAGAATCAATTCAAAACAATTTTAAATTGAAATTTTTATTTTGTTCACAAACAAACAAAATAAAAATTCGTTATTCAAACAATAAATGTCACCAAATAACAAAAACAACAACAATAATAAAAAAAACGTCGACAATAATCAAATAAACCGGACAGACTAACTGACGCCTCAATTGTTTCGTTTGTTTATTTGTCAAACAAACAATTGGTTAATCTTGTTATAATGTGCCAGACTTGAAACTTGAATTTTTATTTATTGAAACAATTTCGGGCGTCGCTTTCATTGAAAAATCATTTCGTTCTTCTCACCGTTTCGAAAGAATTTCTTTTTACCAAAAAAAAATTCTTTGATCTTTTTTCATCATCAATTCATTTCTGATTGAATGAATGAATGAATGTAGGCAAAAAACAAAACAAAAAACAGCAAAGAAAAATTTCAAAGATTGATGGTCGTATTTGATATTTTAATAATAGGCTTTTGGCCAAAACAGCATCATTCACAAACAAGAAAACACACACACACATCCTTCTCATCATCAATGAATTGGATTTCTATGATGATGATGATGATGTGATTACACACATAGAGATCCCCAACCAACCAACCAAAAAATGATTAGCATATTAATGTAAATGTTTGACGCGGCGGTACAAGAAGAAGAAAAAGTGAAAAAACAAAAAACACGAAAAATGATGATGAAAAATGCTTTTGGTTGATTGTCGATCAATTCTTTTTTTTTGCAATTTTCATTCATTTGATTTGATTTTTGGTTGTTACAAGATGCTAAAATCAATCATCATCATCATCGGATTGATTGAAGAAAAATCGGTTTCTTTTTCTTCCACGCTTATCCCGTCGGTTGTTTTCGGTTGTTGATCATCAAATAATCAATTCTTCCGACCGATTCGGACTAACTTTTTGACAATTACTACGACGACGTTTTAATTAATTTCCAATTTGCCGCCAAATTTAATTCCCGACTAAAAAAAACTATTACTCCTCCTTTTTTTTGTTTTTTGTTTTATTTCGGGCAACTTACAAAAAAAATAAAGTTTTTAGCTTTCGATCAACATCAGTTATGTAATAATCTTGTCTTTTTTTTGAAAATAAAACAAGATTTGCTTCTCATCATTCATGTGATAACTGATTTTTTGTTTTCTTCAAGCGGAACCAAAATTTAATCAAAACAAAAAAGATGCGTAGGCAAACATCATCAGCGAGAAAAAAAAACATTGTCAAAATGTTTATCCATTGGATGGTTGGTTGTGATCGGTAAATAGTTAAGATGTTTGGCTTCCATTTTCCAAAAAAATCGGTTATACTGATTGGTTGGTTATGTAATCGAAATCAAGAAAAAAAACATGACATCAACTGACAAGCCATCACAGCTAAAATAATGGAAAAAACAGTGGTGGTGGTGATAAACATGTCAAATAAGATGTTATGTAATGTCAGTAACAAAAACTTTGACGAAGTGTTAACGAAGTTTATGATGATGATGATGATGTTAAAGGTTAATTTTCGAAAGAATCATGCTTTTCCACAACAACCAACAAACCGAAAAATGATGATGAAATTTTGATCAATTTTCCTGATTGCAAATCGATGTAATTGACTTTCTCATCATCATCATTATTATCAAGAATTTTGTTCAATTGCAATTCCGAAACAATTCAATTTTCAAACTATAATATAAAGAAACTGCTAAATCTTTATTTATAGTGGCAAATGATGATGATGGCCAACACCGATCCGATGTCAAATGATCCGTGACAATTTCGAGGTTTGATTAGCCAGAGAATGAATTGAATCACTGTTGTTGTTGTTGTTGTTTGGAAATCAATATTTTTTTTTCTTATTTTGTCAATTTCTTTGCTTTATTGTTATTTCGATGATGATGATGATCCGAAGATGAATTGTAAATTGAATTGACAATATTGTAAAAGCTGAATCGAGAAAATGTATTGAATCGATATCGATGAATTCATCATCAACAAACAATAAAGATCAATCAAAAATTCATTCGTCTTTCGAATTGAATGTTTTTTCTTTGTTCAAAAACAAAATTTTTTTTTTGTATTTCTTTGAATTCGATTCGCCGTTATCATCATCATCATCGACAAACAATTAATTGCATGTTTCACCATGAAATAAGTTTTTTCTTTTTGTTCGAATTCATATTACCCATTATATGATGATGATCATCATCATTATCAATGAATAGACTGAATTGAAAAAAAGGATTTTTTTTCACTTAAAATTGACAAAAGAAAAAAAAATATTGTCTTGTCTTGTCGATGACATTATTATTATCAAACCATTTTTTTTGTTGTTTGAAGAATTGGGTTTCTTCTTCTTTTATTCAAATTGAACAATGTGAATATTACTTTGTTGAATAAGAAAATCACTGTGATGTTTCTTTCCATAGTTCACATTTCTATTGTGTGATCATTGTCATTATATCTAAGGTCTGTGACAAAAAATTTTCTTTCTTTTGATAGAATTTTCTTTTTGTTGTTTGAATATATAGGAAATCCATACTCATATTTAATGTGACCGAAAACTTTATTGGATAATGTAATGATGATCATCAATAATCTTTTCTTTTGATTTTGATGAAAAAAAAAATCCATTTTTCAACATTTTTCTGTTTTCAAATTTTCAACTTCTATCGCTGTACAGCCATCTGGTGGTAGAAATTCAAAATTCCAAAATTTCAAAAAAAATGATAAAAATATTTAATCCCTTAATGATAATGGTTAAGGTGATTAAATTGCAATTAATTTGTCATTTTTGTTTGAGGGATTAGAATGATTTGATCTGTCATTTGAAAATTGGATCATTTGTTTTTTGGCTATCGATCAGATCGAAAGTTTTTTGTTTTTCATAAAAGAAAAGTTAAATTGAGAACAACAAATAATAATAAAATGGTGTCATTACGAGTACAGAATCTAAAAGTTCGTCAATTTATGGCCGAATTTTTTGGCACCATGATTCTTGTGGTTTGTTTGTTTATTCAATTGAATTCATTCATTTCAAATCAACATTTTCCATTATTTTCTCTCCCGTTATAGTGTTTAGGATGTTCAGCCAATGCAACCATTCGATTCAATACGATTGATAATCCAACCGGAAACAATGGAATATCCATGATTATTACACCTATGGCATGGAGTTTAGCATTAACAGTAGCAATTTATGTATCAGGTGGTATAAGTGGTGGTCATTTAAATCCAGCCATCACTTTAGGTTTAGCATCAATTGGTAAATTTAATTGGTCAAATGTTATTAGATATTTTTGTGCACAATATTTTGGTGCATTCATTGGTTCAACATTAACATTTATTGTTTATCGTGAAAGTTTTTTCAATGAAAAATTTGTCAATTCAACAATCGGTGTTTTTGGTACGGAAATGATTCCGGAAATAACCACTGGTACAGCATTGGTTGATCAAATTGTTGCTACTGCTTTTTTTCTTCTTATTATTTGTGCTATTATTGATGAGAAAAATATGGCCGTACCTAAAGGTTTGTATCATTGAATCAGCATTATAATTGATTGTATTAATCAATTCTTCCAAAAAACAAGCATTTCTACCAATTGCAATCGGTTTTGCTAATCTTGGCGTAATACTTTTTTCATTTGGTTATAATTGTGGTGGTCCATTGAATCCAGCACGAGATTTGGCTCCCAGAATATTTTCCGCGATTGCTTTACATGATGCATCGGATGTTTTTCGGTAATTTTTTTATCCGAAATTTTTTCTTTAAAAAAATTCTAGCTTTTTTCCTTTTTTTTGTTAGAACAAATTATTTTTGGGTACCAGTTGCTGGTTGTCATGTTGGCGCTATTATTGGATGTTGGCTTTACAAATTAACCATTGAAAATCATTGGCCCGATGAACATTCATCATCATATGATTTTAATGATTCTGATGGACCAATCGAAATGAATAGTAACAGTAATTGCACTGTACGTGTTACACGCGAAAATTAAATTGAATTGAAAACATTTTGACATACAGAAAAAAATCAATAATAAACATCCGTTATATATGTTATTTAGATTACAAAACCATTTTCATTTCATTTTTTTCTTCCATATGGATCCAAAAGATCAGTTGGATTTGATGGGAAAGAACAGCCGAATATTTGATCACTGCCATCACAACAATTTTCATATATGAACAAAAAGGAAGTAGTGGCTGCTGGATACTTCTACTGATAGATGCTTGTTTGATAGAGTCAAAACAAACATCAGAAAAGCATCCATGTTCTTTAGCATCATTCGAAGTGGTCGAAAGTGATGAAAATCTTTTCAATGTGTAGTGAATATTCTCTTGTTCACATTTGTTTTGAAAAAAGTTCAAAGTGATTCTGTTATCATCACCAAATACATTGACATAATAAACGCGCGCATTTAACTTACTTATTTTTCGGGTTGATTGAAATGAAATAATAATAATAATATAACAAATTCATGCATTTCGATGCATGCCCGATACAAAAAAAAACATCTCAACCCACAAAGGATTGTTGTTTCTGTTTGCTGGATGTTTGCTTGTTTGTTATTGGAATTCATGTTTCTCCAATTCAATTCTATTATTTGTCTAAGATGACAAAAAAATCATCAGATTAAACATCCTATTGTCGAGATTTTGTAATATGTTTTGTTATGGTTGTTGCACATTTTTTAATTGCAAATGATAACCCATTCATCAACTGTTTGTGTGCGTTTGCGAGCAGAATTTTATTCATCTGACATCATTGTATTTTTAGTATTTCTTTTAAAAATCAAAATATGATTATTTCATTTTGATTCGAAACATCATCAGTGAATTTTCTCAAAGTTTTCAATCTTTGTCTTCTTTTGTTTTCAAAAATTCATTCAGACGATAATATGAACCATAATAGGTGGTCATTGATTTATGATCACCACAATCACCATCACCACCACCACCGCCATCAATACTATCTTCATATTGGATTTTCCCTATTAAAACTATGGCTAATATTCGCATCATTTACATTGGTGGTTATCGATTCTGGTAAGTTATTTATTGAAAAAAATCGATTTTTTTTTTTGAATTTTCACACAAAAAAAACTAAAGCGAATGAACTCTACCATACACTTTCAAGTACGGTAGTGAAAAATTTAACATTTCCAACAAATTTTGTCATTTTTCTTTTGGGCTAAAAATAGAGTGAAAACCAAAAAATGTCAAATACCCATGTGTGTGTGTGTAGTTTTTGAATATTGCTTAGCTGTTTTTTTTGTTGATGTGAATCATCAATTTAACAGGGCATCATCATCATCATTATGGAATGAAGGGATCCTTGTCATTATGATGATGTCTATGCACTTAGTTACACACAAAGAGATGTGTGACATCTCAATAAAAATACTAGCAATCTTCACTTTCACTGATGCGAGATACTATAATTAAACATAGAGTCTAAGCTAAGGATTTAAATACTTTTTTTTAATGTTTATAGCAGTAGTTTTCACTAACTAAAAAATGACATCCATTAGTCAATTAATCAATTATAATAAATATCATCTGTCAAAAAAAAATTCTCATTCTCTTTGTTCTTTATTTACTGATTAATGATTGAATACAATACGGAATGGATTAAACAACATCATTTTTTAGCATCATTTTATGGTCAAAGCTATTTGAAGATACCATCTTTCCCTTTAAATAATAATCAAACAAAAATTCAATTAGAATTTCGTACACATCAATCCGATGCATTCATTTTTCTTGCTGCCGGTTCATCGGATTATTGCCTTCTGTATCTTGAACGTGGACAACTAGCTGTAAGTTTTTTTCGTAATAGGATTTTAACTTTATATAAAATTCCCATTACAAATGACATTTTGTTTTCTATTCTGGTCAGGTGAAAATTAATTTCGGTTTAGGTGAAACTTTTCTCAAATCCAATGATGATGATTATTATGATTCAAAACCATTAAACGATTTGGAATGGCATCATGTTCATTTAGAACGTATCGATAGAAAATTATTATTAAAAATTGATTCAACAAGAATCTATTCAAAACAAATTCAAGGTTTTCATCGTGAAAATGGATTAAAAATTCAATATGGAATTTATCTAGGAAGTTCACATGGTTTAAAAAGTCTTTATTTAGGTGATATTCATCCATTACGTGGATGTTTAGATTATGTTTATTTTAATGAACAAAATTTATTCAATTTGTTTATCGTCAATGGACAACAACAACAACAACAACGACAAGTTATTAATCATGAAGTCGATCTAGATCAAAAATGTGATGAACAATTTAGTCCTTCAAACATTATTATCAATAATGATGATGATTCAGATAATAAAAACGAAACTCAAGTAACCATTTCATTTGTACATCATCAAAATAGTTATGTTTTATTACCCGGTTTGTTTGGTAATTCAGTTACAGATAGCAAAGTACAACCAAGTCGAACAACAAATTTATCCGTCCAATTTGATTTGAAAACAACATCAACAAATGCAATGATTCTATTTATATCGGGAACAAATACATATAGAAAAGAATTTTTTGCAATAGAAATTATTCGTAAACGATTAAAAGTTTCCATAAACGATGGAAATGATGAATGCAAATTACATTCAAACATTATTTTGGCTGATAGTCAATGGCATCATGTAGAAATACTATTGATTGACAATGGTCAATTGATGGCCACAATAGATGGACAACGAGAATCATCATCAACAACAAAAACAACAACATGGCAATTATTTCGATCAAAACTTTCAAATGAATTATATTTAGGTGGTCTTATTGTTGAACGACAATCATTAGCTGTCAATTTAGGACTAGAATCAACATTGATTACATCAAATGTATCATTGAAAGGATGTATAAGAAATTTTCGTATAAATTCCCATTGGATAAATATTATTCGTGATGCAATTGTAACTCGGAAAATTCTAGCTGGTAATAATTGTCAATGGGAATTTTTATGTCATGATGATGATGATCCCGACAAAAGACCATGCATAGATCGGGCTAAATGTAGCCATGAACAATTTGATCTAATCAAATGTTCATGTCAAAATCATCATAATCATCATTATCGACATTGGCCAACAAATCAACAAAAATCTTCAACAACTAGCAATAATTTACCACCACCATCATCATGTGTTCGAAAAAATTTTAAACATAAATCAATAATTATCGAATCAATCAATGATAATGATCAACAAGATTCCGATCGGATTCAGCCATTAAATTCAATGTTATGTGATAAAAATTCTGGTGAAATTTCAGTCAACGAAGGAACTATAACCGAAATTAATTCTGCATTATTAACCATATTGACCGATGCTAATATACTATCACCATCATCTGATAATGATCGAATATTTGATGTAGTTATAGCCAAAAAACCCGATTACGGATCAATCAATCTTGATCAATTGACAATCGATTCGAATGTATTACGTACACAACCAATACGTTATACGCATATTATATCGGGTAAAATGCGTGATTCAATGTCATTAGAATTGGTTCGAAGACAATCAAAAACATTCGATATTGTTGAATGTGATCGTTATCTAATCAGAATTTTATTCAAAATTGTTTCAACAACAGCACAACAACAACAGAATGATGTTGCCGTCAATGATCTTGTTCATCGAATTCATTTGAAAATTCTAGCAAACAATCGTTTTCCATTAACATCATCAATGTTCAAGTTGAAAGATATTCTTGTAAAAGGAAAAAATAAGAAAAAAGATGATCATCATCCACAATTCAAAATAATCGATTGTAATCCAAATGATCATGGATATTTTGCTCAACAAAACAAGAATTTTCCTATAAAAATTGAAAATTTTACCGAAAATGCCGTACGAAATGGAAGCATATTTTTTGTGCATGAAGAAAAAAATGTTTCATTATCATCAACATCGGTGAAATGTATGATCAGTCATCGAGAAAAAGAACGATTCGAACTAACATTCAAACCATATAATTTGGCCGATAATGAATTAATCAACACAGGTCTTCTTATGGCTCATCATACTCATGCTTTGATAACCACTTCAAATCTTAGCCTAATCACCAATGATATTCTTGAACAACAAGATAAAAATCTTGGACAACTTATCCGTTATGAAATAGATGAGGAACCAAAATTTGGCGTTGTACAAAAACTTCGATCATTACCAAATAATTGGATGAATGTTACACAATTTACACAACGACAGCTGGATCGTGGTAAAATACGATATTTACATATTGCTGTTGATGATTTGTTACATTTACCAGAATCCGATCGAATCGACATACAAATCATGTTTCAAAAACAACTGATTCGTCGAATTAGATTTGCAATCAATTTTGTTTCACATTTAGAACTGGAATCATATGGAACAAATATTTATAATTTTAGTCGTAATGAAAAAGAATTTATCATTACAAGTACGGAACTTTCGTATCAAACACAACCAATTTTAAGCGATCCAGAATCAATTCGATATCGATTACGATCAGTGCCTTCATATGGTACCCTTTATTCATTAGCTACTACTGATGTATGGCAAAGAAAACTACGTTTTGATTCACAATTCAGTCAAAATGATTTGAATGAACGAAAAATTTTCTATGTTCGTAATAATTCATTTGTTAATATTGATTCACTACGGGATTTAATCGATTCATTCAGTTATGATGTTAATGTTTCGAATTCGACAAAAACTTCAACATTTTAGTAAGTATTAATCGATTTCATCGATAAAACATTCAATCTAATTTTGTTTTTTGCCCGAAAAAAGCATTCATTTTGATAATTCATTGGAAAACTATGTTCTAATCAATCGAAAATTGACCGTATTGGAAGGCGATCGATCGGTGATTGATGAAAATCATCTCTATCTTCGATCTACTGAATCATCATCTTCGGCTAAAAATGATGTTCAATTCGATATAATTAAACAGCCAATGTTTGGTCGAATTGAAATTGAAAATGCTGATAACACGGTGGAGATTAATCCATCGAGAATTTCACAACGATTAATTCAACAACGAAAAGTTTACTATGTTCATGATGATTCGGAAAATAATATCGATTTTTTTGATTTTTTTATCGAAAATTTTACCAATAATGGTCGTATTAATGCAAAATTTTCTATTGAAATTCTGATGAAAAATGATAATCCACCACAGCGAAAATGTTTACAACGTTTGAATATAATTCGCAATACTGAACGTTTACTAACCAATCGTGATATATGTTACGTTGATTTAGACCTCAATACATGGCCATCAAATATTTTATTCACAAAAATCTATTCCACTATTGGTTCATTTCATTTTCTTAACAATTCAATGGCACAATCATTTACACAACAAGATTTAAATGATGGCCAGCTAAAATTTCGTCATAATGGAAATTTAGATTCGGGTAAAGCAATTTTTTCCATTACCGATGGCCATTTTAACCTGTTGGCTGAATCATTGGAAATTCGTGCATCCGATCCGTATATCGAAATAATAAATAATACCGGTGCAGTGGTTAAATATGGTGATACTTGCCTGATAACATCACAAAATCTTTCAATTGAAACAAATCTTCCAGATATGAATGAAATTTTCATCAAATTATTGACCGAACCACATTATGGACAAATATTGATTAATGAAAAATCTACCAATCATTTTACACTTCAGGTAAGTTAATTGAATTAATTTTCTTTCAAAAAAAAGTTAATTTGATTTTTTCTCTCAAGGAATTACAAGATGGTTTAGTTGAATATGAAAGTACTGTTTTCGAAGATGAAACAATACCGTTTAGCCGTAATGATTCATTTGAATTTCGAGGTAAAGTTGACAAGAAAAATATTTCATTTCATTTTCTTTATTTTTATCTTTGTTTTTCAGTTTTCAGTAATGATCATGATTATAAAGATTTGGTGACCAAATCTCAAGAATTTATCATTCGAATTTATCCACAAAATTATTTTCATTTAGATATTATCAACAAACAGAACATAACAATGTTGGAAGATAGTCAGGTTCTAATTGATTCAAAAACATTGTCGGTAAAACATTCAGAATTATCGGAAGATCGTATTGTTTATACTGTTGTACAGCCACCAAAATCTGGTGTAATAAAAAAATTAACCAAATTCAAAGAACCTATACAAAATGAACAAATGGCCATTGTTTTTACACAACAAGACATTATTGATGGTCAAATTTTTTATCAAAATATTCAATCAAAATATAGTGGAAATTATACCGCCAACGAATCGGAAATATTCAATGATCGATTCCATGATTCATTCAGCCTAGAAGCTGGTGATGATATATTTCGCATGGCTCATTTTACCCTGCATATTGAACTGATACCCAAATTCATTACATTACGAACAGAAAATCTAACAGTTTCGGAAGGTAATTCCATCATTCTAACTCGAACAATAATCAACATAACACATCCATATTATATGAGATATGTTGATGAATTTGTTGTGATTGAAGAACCAAAATATGGAACAATATCATCGATAGGTATTGATAATGTTCGATTATCGATAAAATCATTTACAGGTGAACAATTAGATTCCGGTCGAATATATTATCAACATGATAGTTCGGAATATGAAAGTGATTGGTTTACATTAGTTGCACGTGCTAATTCGATTGAAAAAGAAAGTTTACCGGCAACAATTCATATCCAAGTTACATCAATCAATGATGAAGCACCAGTATTGCAAACAATCAAACCAATTAATGGTCAATTACAACAAAAAATTCCGATAACAAATCAATCATTATTGGCAATCGATGCTGATTCTAAAGCCAATGAAATTGTCTATCTGATTTCGATGCCCATCAATGGTTATCTGATCGATATCGATACCAATCGAACAATCGATAAATTTACACAAGCTGATTTGGATATGGGTCGAATTTTTTTCATTCATGTTGGCTCGGCTAATGGTAGTTTTAGATTTCATTTGACAGATGGAAAAAATTATGGTTCATCAAATGTATTTCGAATTTTGGTTCGAACCAGACAACAGATTATGATCGATACAAATCAAAAGATGCTTATAACACCCGGATCACAGCAATCAATAACAAATCGTCATCTACAGGTTAGCTCAAGTGATCCAGATGTTGATAATGATGTTGAACGAGAATTTATTTATCGAATAATCAAAGCACCAACTTATGGTCGTATTATTTTGGAAGGTTTTCGCCAGGATGAAGAAGAAATCAATAATTTTACACAACAACAAATCAATGAGAATCTTGTTCTTTATGATCAAAATGTTCCTATTATTGAACCGATTGTTTTGGATCGAATCATATTCAATATTGAATCATCGGAAATGCCACCATTGAAAAGTGTACATTTTATTATTGAAATTGCAATGGAAAATATGCGTGATATAATGAAAAGCAATGTTGATGCATTGATTCCAATCAAATCGTTGACCGTTGTGGAAGGTAAATTTAAAGCATTAAGTTTCGAAGAATTAAATCTAAATGAATTTGTTGGCCGTCTAAAATATGATGAGAATCGTGTTTTATTGAAAATTATTCGACAACCATTACATGGTATCATTTTACGTAATGGATTAATATTGGATAATTTTGCTCTGTTTCCAATAGCAGCCATACGAAATCAATCAATAATTTATATGCATGATGATAGTAATAGCTATACAGATTCGGTTATTTTTGCCATATTTACTAATGATAATTTTATTATGTCATTTATGAATCTAACTTTACCGATCAAAATAATTCCCGGTAAGTTTTGAAAACTTTTGAAATTTTTGTTTAATTTTCTTTCATTTGCCTCCCAAAAAAAGTGAATGATGAATATCCGATTGTTGTGAATCGTAGTCCACGTATGATTGTAAAAATTGGATCCAAAACATTAATAACACGTTCAATTCTTCATACACGTGATAACGATGGTAATGATACGAATATTATTTATATTTTGGCCGGAAATAATGTTTGGCAAAAAGATGGATTTTTTACACATCGAAATTATATTCAAGAAGTTGCTATACGTATGTTTACACAACAGGATATTAATGATGAACAAATTGAATTTGTTCATCGTGGTTCATTACCCGCACAATTGATTTATTGGTTTCGTGTTAAAGATGAAATTGGAATTGAATGTCCAATGATCGAACCACCTGCCGAAATAAATTATCAATATTTACAATCATCATCATTGCAGAATATGAATGAAGAACATTGCACACCATATTATCCATTAACCATAACGGTTATTCAATTTGTAATTGAATTAGTAAATAAAACCGATATTCATCTAAAACAATGTTCAAGAAAAGCTCCAATCACTCGGTCTAATTTGGCTGTAAAAATTGATGATGATGAAACAGATTTAGATCCAAAACAAATTGTTTATCAAGTAAAAAAAGGACCATTCTTTGGACATTTATTGGTGGAAAATAAACGTAGTCTACATTTCAATCAACAACAAATCAATGATAATCAAGTTTTCTACATACAGGAAAATATGTTCAATGATGGTGGTGAAGATTCATTTGTCGTTGATATTTTTCAACGAAATAATGAAAAAATTCATAGTAATATTAACATACCAATTATTGTTGCTGCATTGGTAAAAGCACGTAAACCATTTGTAGCTGCATTTCCCGGGCTAAAATCATTGATCAATATTGATCACGTTGATGCAAGGTAATTTGAATCAATTTTTTTATCGGAATTCACACAAAAATCTAATCCTAATTTTCTGTTTTTCCAACAGTGAATTGTCAAGCGAAACAAAATCCAATCCAACGTTTAAAATTATTGAACAACCAAGATATGGATCATTAAGTTTGCTTAGTTTTGGGCAATCATCATCTCATGATATTGTCCATGAATTCACTCAAGATGATATCATTAAGAATCGTATTGTATACGAAGCATTTGCTAATGTAGAAATCATTTATCCAATGAATGAAATAATTACTGATCGAATTCGATATGAACTTCGAGCATTGAATGTTCAAACAGCACAAGGTGTACTTGTTATCAATATATTCAATAATCATTCTGATAGTGATCATAGTAATGATTTAATGAATCAATTTCTAATGAAAAATAATTATCTTAGCTATTTAGGAATGACAACAATGTTTAAAGAACAATTTTTTCTACTACTATTCTTTTTTATTCTTTTCCTTGTACTACTGATACCTGTTTTGATGATCATTATTCGTTCATTGTGTTTTGCATCAACCAAATCAAAATCAACAAAATGTTCAAATTCTAATAATAATGATTATGTGACGCAAACATTATCACCAACAACAACAACGGTACCGCAACCGCCGCCGCCAACGACAACAACAACACAAACAGATCATTCCAGTACAATAACGCATTCATCATCATCATATTGTTCACGACCAAATCTAGATTCATCCACTAGTCATTATTCATCGAATGCAACATTTAATAATGATCATTCAATCATACGAAATGATCATAATGATGTTATTGGGTCCAAATCATCACCATTCAATCATGATTTTGATCAAACAATTAATTTACAGTTATTGAAAAGAGATGGCCATAAAAAATATGGCCATGATGAAATAATGTCACCCTTACCACCACCATCATTATATTTTATTAATGATTATCATAATTATGATAGTCCAACAAGAAATAATCGTTGTTGGAACAACAACAACAAACAAATCATTGATACAGATGAAGATGTATTAGATGATGGTGGTGAATCACAAAGTGATGATACAATAGATATTGCCAATATCCATAATGATAATTTTTTTCCATCAAAAAATCAAAAATCTTTACAACATTTAACCTGTTCATATTCACCACCATTTCCATTCGGTAGTAATGAAAATGATGATTATCAAAATGATCGAATCATTACGACGACGACAACAATGACCAATCGTAATGAATTTGATAATAATTTGAATAATAAAAATCAATATTGGATTTAATTTTCATTTTTTTTAAAAAATTGTTATTTCATTGTTTTTGTGATAATAATAATAATAAATAAATAACCTATATCTCTAATAACATTTACATAATAATAAATCAATTTTGTTGAAAAAAAAAATTTACAATATGATTTTTTGAATAATACAACGCTATAGCCGACAATTGAAGATTACAATCAAGTTCAAAGTCTCTTAATTAGTTTCCATTGAATAATTGCTTCATTTCTTTTTGAAGTAATTGTTGTATAGTTTGACCATCATGTCGATATATCCATTCACCATCGATATAATCATAACGTTTTGGGCCACTATTTAAAAAATGATTAAATAATTTTTCATTTTTTATCTATTCAATATTTACCTGATTGGTGATGATAGCCAAATTTGTCGATTTGGCGTTTGTCTATTGATCACATAAACACCTTTTGAACCTAAAGATACGGTTAGTACATCATTCTACAAAATTAAACAATCGAAAATTGATTATCAAAAAAAACTTGACAAAAATTCCACTCACATTAAAAGTAATATCACAATTTTTATCGTCAATTTGTTCGAAAAATTGTTCAAAATGATCATTTAGACTATCCAATGTTTTATTCACTAATTCTTCATAGGTTTTTTCATCTAATTCTTTTGACGACGATGATGAAAACAAACGAAGAAAACTTGTATCATTATTATGGTAAAAAGGAGTTATTACGGTACGATTTTTATTGTTGTTAACACTAATATAAAATATTCTGAATAAAGATTTAAATTCAGATCTCATGATCGAAATCATTTTACAAACTGGTGACAACAGGTGTAAAAAAATCGACAAAAAACAAAAATAAACAAACCAAAAACCGAATTGAAAAATGATATATCACTTTGTACGCGTATACCTCATTTAATTACGGTACCACAGAAAAGAAAAGAAAAACATGCACGCATCCAGCGCCACATTTTTTATGTGAGCGCGCATTGACATGTGCTTTTTTTTGGCATTCTTGATTTCTATTTTTTGCTTTTCCAAAATTTTTTTTTAAATCTTTTCCTTGTATCCATTTTTGATCATCATCACCAATCATCTTGACGATCCAAAAAAAAGATGGTAAGTTTACAAGATGAATTTATTATTAGATCTGATTATTGATATCACTTTCGTTTTTTTTTTGTTGACTTTTTTGTTCCTCCACCAAACTAAAATTAAAAAGACTGAAGACAGTAATGAAGAAATTAATCCAAAAGCCTATCCATTGGCCGATTCAGCATTGACAGCTAAAATATTCAATCTACTTCAACAGGCTAATAATTATAAACAATTAAAAAAAGGTGCCAATGAAGGTATGTTTAATGATAAAAAAAAATTCAATGATAATCGATAAATAAATCTTTTTTTCTCCCATTATCCATCCAGTGACAAAAACATTGAATCGAAATCTTGCCGAATTGGTTGTTATGTCAGCGGATACAACACCGATTGAAATCCTGTTGCATTTACCATTACTTTGTGAGGATAAAAATGTACCATATGTATTTGTTCGATCAAAGAATGCACTTGGACGTGCATGTGGTGTATCAAGGAAAATTATTGCCTGTTCAATTATATCGAATGAAGGTTCAATGCTAAAATCACAAATTGAAAGTTTACGAAATGAAATTGAAAAACTTTTGGTTTAATTTAAAAAAAACATGATCACATATTTCATCATTATTCATGTCACATTTTTGAAATTCTTTAAAAGATCTTAAATCAAAATGAAATAAATATCATTGAATTGCAAAGAATAAATCCATACAAACCCCTTTTTTTTCTTACTTACAAAAATCATAAATTGATTTTTTCAAACCAACCAAAAAAAAAACTAATCGGAAATCCTAATCATTTTGTTATTTGATTTGTCTAGTCTGGTTTGTGTGTAAGTGATTAATATAAAACAAAATCATCACATATCATTTACAAAACCGAAAAGGGAAAAAAAATCGATCGATTTATAATTAGAAAAATCCAGTTGATCCACATATCATCGGTCGGTCGGTTGTTGTTGTTAAAATACTACATTTTAATAATGAATGAGCTGTATATTTAGTTAATTCTAATTTCAGAGCTAAGGAAAAAAGAAAAACGAAAATATTTATTTGGCTGTCAAACAACAACAGAAAAAAAACCAGATTTTTTACCAGTGATAGACACACAGTGTTAAAAAATGAATTCATAAGAAATACGATGATGCATGAATAATAAATCGAATGAATGAATGAAAAAACAAGATTACCTGACTGCAGTGTAAAAATCTATGAATGAAAACATTCAATAAAAAAACTTTATTTTATTTTGTCAAACTGGTCAAGTATGTTTTGTATGATGATGATCGTCATCATGATCATCATTAGTCTTGTGTCATCATCATCGAATGTTTAATGAGTTGGATGCTTATTTTAGGTTTTTTTTTGCTTGCTGAACACAGTGTGATCGAATTAAAAATAACAAATATACAGACAAACCACACACACATATGATGTATGTAAAACAAACAAACACATGATGTTCATAAACATTAATGTTAATTGAAAATCGTTGTGTTAATCTGGTTATATCAAGTTTGAATTAATTAAAAAAACTTTTACTTTCATTTTTGAATCAAATTTTTCAGACAAAATAAAAAATGAAAAAACAGCCAGATTTTATTGATTATAAATTACGAATGAATCGTAAAGCACAGGAAAGACAGCAAAAATATTATGAAGAACAATTACAAAGACGTCGATTGATTGGTCAACCATCAACAATTGAACCATGGTATTCATTAAATCGTAATCGTAATATATTCATATTAGCTTCATTATTAACAAGTTTGATTTTTATCAAACCAATAGCTGATGCTATTATTGGTTTAAAAAATGCTGGTCGTTTACAAAAAGAACAGGAAAAATTTCGTAAACAATTGGATGCGGAAGAAGCTGCTGAGGAATTGAAAAAAACAATCATCAAATCCAATTAATTAATTACAAATTAAATTTAAAAATGTTGTAAATATAAAAATGTAATCATCATTTTTATTTTATAGTAATAATTATTATTCTGAAAAAAAAAATTAAAAACTTAAAAATTTTTTAAAATCACGAACATGCAAAATTGATTGATTGTTTCAAATTACAATGTGGCTATGAAACGATGCATTTATTATGTTTATTATTTGTTTGATCAATCGTTTGATGATCATTTGCAGTTTTGTTTGCGGATGATGATGATGATAATAATGATGATGATGATGATGTTGGTAATCCATGTTCAATAGCCATTATCAATGATGTAAACAGGTTATTTACAGCTGAATTTTCTTTTGCACTATTTAAGCAATAAGAATGAGAATGTAAGACATTTTTTTGCTCGGTCATTTCGTTTTTCATTTGTTATTTTACCTGACTTCAACAAATTGTGCATGCATATAATTGGCCAAATCTTTACCATCCTGTGTCGATACACAACGTTCCAAATGTAGATCAACTTTATTACCAACCAATATTATTGGAACTCTGTTCGGTTTGTTTTTTCAAAGAAAATTAATGATGTTATATTTTTTGACAAAAAAGTTCAAAAATAAAAAAATTAAGCAAAAAAAACTAACTGAATTTTTCCGGTCAATTCCAATAATTTATCATAGATTACTTTGACAACTTCAAATGATTTTAGATTATTGATACTATTGTTGTAATTTTAAAACGAAATAAAAATAAAATTTTTATTAAATTAGTTCAAAGTGATAAAATCATCATAACATTACCTATAGACCAAACAATAACCATGAATATCTAAAGCATATTCATGTGGAAATATTGAATATTCATCTTGACCAGCTGTATCGACTAATTTTAATGAATATTCTTGTCCTTTAACTTTGATCTTTTTATAGAATGCTATTTTGGTAGTCGACAAAAATTAAATAAACAAATTAATAATTAGATCAAGTTTTTCACAAAAAAAACACTCAACTGTTTTCAATGGTTGGATCATATGAATCAACAAATTGTCCTTCAACAAATTGTATTGTTAATGATGATTTACCAACAGAACGAAATCCCATCAAAGCAATTTTTCGTTGTTTTGTTGTCATTTCGTGTTTGGGTGATAAGTTAACTTCTTTTTTCTTTAAATAAATAAATAAAATTTAAGCCGCTAATCAACCAACAACAACAGGTTATTATGGAAGTAAAAACAATACAAAATCGTTCGTTTTTTATTTTGTTGTTGGTTGCTAAATGATATGATACAATGTGGAAACCGAAAATGAAAAAAAAATCAAAATTATCAATGGACAAACGGATTGATTGATTGATTGATATCACAATTTGCTAATCAATAAGTTTTTCATATTAAAAAACCATTGAATGAGGAAAAAAGAGAGCAAAGCAAAAAATCGTCGTATCAACAACAACAACAGAAAAAAAACATGATGTTTAGAAAATTTGAAATAATAGCAACCAGATGGCATTGTTTTTAGAATTCTTTTGAAAAAAATCATTGAAAAAGGAATCCAATCGATCAAAACAAAATTAAATTCAATCCGTATCACCATCATTGAATTCGAAAGAAAAAAAAATCCTTCATCAATCTAATCGATAATTAGATTTTCATCATTATCATCATTATCTATTGATCTTTTTTTATTTAGTTGACCGGTTAAAAAATCAAAATCGAAATGAAAATCGTGATCAACGAAAAAAAGATCATTTCAATCAATCAATCAATTATCGATTATTATTATTATTTGAACAATAGATATGACCGGCTAATCGGTAAAACAATAGGCTTTTCAATTTTTTTTTGTTAAAAATAAAAAAAATCTCAGTATCAAATTTCATCATTAAATTTAGAAAAGTGAAAAAAAATTTTCGTTGATTCGTTTACAGGTGAAAGTGATGATGATGCTTATCATTCACATCCACCCAACACAACACATCGTTGGAGAAAGTGCAAAAGATTATTTTAATAAAGTTCATTTTTTTTCTATTAAAATCAGGTAAATTCAGGTCAAACTTTTAGTTTTTGACTACTTATTTACTACCATCATCATCTTCACATGAAAACCAAAAGAAAAAAAAATTAAGGTGCTAATTGAAATGCGATGCAAAAAAAAAGAGGGGAAAAAGCTTGATTTTTATCCAATGAAAAAATGAAATGAAATTTCGGTTTCGATTTCATTTTGTTTCAATCATGTTCAATGGACAACTCTTTCATTTTTAGAGAAAAAACTTCAAAGAATGTGATTTTGAAGCTGATTTTCTTAACCAAAAAAACTGATTGAAAAAAGAATAATAATGATCACCTATATCGTGAGAATAGTGAGAATTTTTATATTTCTGATTAGAAAATAAAACAACAGCACACACAAATGAAGTTGTCAATCAATCGTTCAAGAAATGTTCACACATCATTTTTTTTTATAAATCATCAATTTACCATTCTTTACGAATATTTAAATGCCGTCATCATCAGATGATGATGTTGAAGACAATATCATCATCATCGTTGTCGACCACACAATGACATCATTGTGTTCATCATCATCAAGAAAAAAGAAAAAGAAAAACCTACGATGTGAAATTTGAAGAAAAAAAAATGATTTTTTTCGTTGCCTAAACTGGATCGGTTTCGATATATTGTTATGAAGGATGATATAAAGGATGATAATGGATTTGGTGAATGAATGTAAAAATAGATAAAGATTTTTTTTCCAAAGAAAAAAGGGTCCAAGATGATGATTGTTGTTGTTGTTGTTTGGTTTGATATTGAAACCATTATTATCATCATCATTCGGAAAAAAAGAATGAAGAAGATTTTTACATTTTACAATGATGATGATGTAATGAATATTTAATGATGATTTTTTTTCGAATTTGAATTTCATTCGATCGAATCGACTTGATTTTTAGATTGCCACTGTATCAACCAGTTTTAGTTTCAGTTTCTGGTTGTGTATGAAGAAAAAGAAGAGAGAAATTAAGTTAAATTTACTTTTGATTTTCATTGATTGATTTAGTTGTCAGCAAATCAACAAAATCAACAACTTTCTCTTTCAAATTGTGATCATCATCGAGATCATTTCCATAACTGATTTGAACCAGGCAAAATATCTTTTAAATTTTTGATTTTGATCGAATCGTATCGTTTTATCATCGTATCAACATCCGAGAAACTGTCAGAAAATATTAATAATTTTTCGTCAAACGTTACCAAAACCAATTTATCATACCTGAAGATCTTTTTTTGTTGTTGTTGAAAAACTACAACCGACAATTTGATTAAATTAACAAAAAAGAAAAGAAACAAACAAAAAAAACCATAATTGAAAAACAAAATGATAAAAATTATTGAATTATCCGATACACTCCTTTTTTTCAATTAATTTGAATGATGCTACCTGTTTTTTTTGTTTTTCTTTTTTATGATGTTCGGGTCAATCATTATTATTGCTACTGAATAAAAATGAAATGATGGGTTAATAAAAAAAATTGGATTTCAATGAATTTTTTGTATTTGGCCTTTCGGGCCGAATCTTAATCATGTTCACAACAAACAAAAAAACATTCCTTAACACAAAGCAGCCGACAAATTTTGTCTACACTATATATCAAGCCAATTATATATTGAATAACATAAACATAACATGTTTAGGGATGCAAAAAAATTCATCATTACAGAAGCGCCACTTGACTTGACTTGACTTATTTTTTTTTCTGGTTGCTTTTTGAATGCATAAATAATAATAATAATGATGATAAATAAAATAAAATTTTTTTTCTCTGTATAAAAATAGATAATTTCATCATCATTTCTTTCAGAAGATTTTCATTTCATTTTTTTTGAAATGATGGTGTGAAAAGGGGAAAGCAAAGCAAAACGAAAAAATTTTGTTCAAATTTGACAGACAAAAATCGATTGAAATGAAATAAAATGAAAAAATTGAACATTTCAACAATGATGATGATGATCGATAACTAAACATTTCCAAAAAAAGTTATCGATCATCAAATAAATGTATATTTGGAAACGAAAAAAAAGATAGATTTTTTGTTTTTTCACCTGGTTCTCTCTCTCATTTGACATCACGAATTTACATTTTTTATCATTTTTTTTCTACAATGTTTTATCACCAGATAAAACTAACTAACTAACTAAATGGGGGATAAACAAACGAAAAACAAAACAAAACAGATACAGATGATGGTGGTCAACATTTAAAATTTTTAAATATTTTTTTTTATTGATGAATTTTTAGCCAGTTTGACGTCGTAATATTTATCTCCTATTATTGATTGGAAACAAAAATTTTCGCAAATTATTTTTAGATTTTTCGTTTTGTTTTTTTTGGGCCAAATCAATATTGATCAATTCATTTTTGTTTGAAAAATCTATCCAAACATTCGGATTTTATCACATTTAATTTTCCTTGTTCAAAAAACAAAACGAATTTACGAATCTGTGTTCATCACATTCAAAAACAACAACAAAAACAAAACAAAACGATTGATCATTTTACCGGTGAGAAAATAAGAAAAAAACCTTCAGATTTTGTTTCCAGATTTGAATTTTCTTTTCTTTTTTTGCAAATCAAACAAACAAATTTAATTAAAAGTTATATCATTCATCAACTGGTGCAGTGTGTTTGTGTGAACAAGAAAGAAAACTTGAAGGAAAAAAAGAAAACCAACAAACAGTTGGTTTTTCTATCACTATCTTTTTTTCTGGTAATTTTCCCATTTCCTTTTCGGTGAAAGTTATTTTCAGCCAGAAACTTTCATCATCATCATCATCTTCATCTGGCTATTTTTTCCCCCCATACAAATAAGTTATTTTTTGCTCCGGATTTTTTTTTCTACCCGTTTAAACGAAATGACAACAACAACACTGTAGTGAGAAGGGGAAATGAAAGATGAATCAAAGAGAGAAAAAAAAAGAATTATGAAAGTAATCGAAATCGAAAGGAAAATGATAAACTAAAAAAGATTGATTGAAAATAATTATTGAAATTTTTTTGGTTTTTGGATCAAATTTTTTTTTTCGGTAAGGATGATTAATGTAATGTTTTGAAGAAAAATAAATCTTTCCGGAACATTTTTCTGTAAAGGAAAAAAAATTTCCCGAAAAAATGTACCGGATTTTCCTCTATCTTTTTTGGCCAAATATTGAGAACCAAAGGAATTTTCATTATGAAAATGAAAATCCAATCTACTGTTGTTGTTTTCATTCATTCATTTGAATGTGGATGATGATAATGACAATGGTTTGAACACAAGGTTTGTTCGTTTGTTTGTTTTTTCCAAAACTGAAAACGAAAAAAAGAAAAGAAAAGAGAATGGAATTGTTGGATTCATTTTGGTTCGACGATTAGATAACTTGATTTTTTTTTCTTTTCACATATATAAAAATATACACAACCAACCAACCAACTTTGCTATTTATGGTTACTTTAAATAGACAGGACATGTTAGCTAGCCGCAAATAAATTTTTTTTATTATAAATTTTTCAAGTTTTATGAAACGAAATTTCTCTTTTAAAGATGATGATGATGATATTAACTTGAGACAACCTTGCCACTTGTTTTTTTATATATCGGTCCATGCTTGATGATGATGATGTTTGGAATCAAGTTTTTGCTTGCAAAACTAGGCCGATCAACCAAAATCAACATCATCATGGTAGATAGAAACAAAAACTTGGTCTACACACACACCGTTATTTGGGTAAAATTGAGGTGAAAAATTTCTCTTCACCAAGAAACCAAGAAAATGAACTTTCCACTGATGAGAGAAACCAGCGTTCGAGAGTGAGAGAGAAAGAAAGACATTCCTGACTGGCTTTGATGATAATGTGTGTTCACCTTTCTCTCGATCGAATGATGATTATTATTATGGTTATGATGATGATGGTGAATCTCGCTCTTTTTTTCGTTGATTTGGTTCGAGCGAAAATGAAATTTTTCGTTTAAAGAAGAAGAAGGTTGTTTTTTTTCCAGATCAGGCATCTTTGGGCATCTCATCTCTCATTTATTATCATCATCATCAAAATGGTTTGCTACTTTTTTTTAAAAAAAGACAATCTTCTTAAGACGAATGAAGCTATAAATTGATATTTGAACAAATTTAGGTCTCGTCATTCGTTAGAATGTAGACCATCGTTAAAGATCGGCCAGCCAAAAATTCAAAAAATCAAAAAAAAAATTAATATTTTCAAATGGTGAACACATATAAACCCACACAAACACACAAATTATGACTACCAAATTATCATCGTGTGTGTGTGTTTGTGCCATTCGTTCATTCAAGCAAAACATTAAATCATTATCATCAAAATTGTAATTTTTAAACGATATTTCGATCAATCGATAATCTATAATGAACCAATATTGATTGATTCAACAAATGTTCATTTGACATAGATCAAAAAATGTCGTGGTTGTCGTCGATATTGTGTGTTTGTGTATTATGTTAAGTTATGTAATGTGAATAAATTGTGTTTTTTTTCGGCAAAAAAACTTCAGTGTTTTAAAAAACCGGCTAAAAAATTAATCATCATCATCGTTACCAAAAAGAAAAAAAAACGATGCCACCAGCACCGCCACCTATCTCCGGCGTTAAAACGGAGATAATCTATCCGGATGAAGAAGAAGCTAACAATGATCCATCATTATATGATAATGATCATCATCATCATCATCATTATGATGATGGTTCGTCATCGTCCATAGTGGCAAAAACAATCATCGATTCATCAACAAATAATGATTATCATAATCAACAACAACAAAAAAATCATCACCATCATGAACGTTTACAACATGGTCATCCTATGATGAATGTTGATGATGAATATTATGAAAATACAAAAAATCTACCAACATCCATATCATCAATAAACAAAAATAAAATTTATAACAACCATCATCATCATAATGATGATGATGATGCGAATGATTCGGATGATGCGGAGGATGAAGAAGAATCGAAAAAATATCGTAAAAAATTATTAATTTCATTGGGAATGTTATTACCAGCAGTTGCAGCCATTATTGGTATGTTTGTCCACTTTTTGTTTGTTGTTTTCGCTTTCAAAATTCAAAATTCATTATGAAATAAGAGAAAAAAAAGAAATAATAATTGAATAGATCCTTTTTGATTCAATTACCGGATTTTCAGTGAAAATCTTTCTTTCTTTCCTTTTGCACCGTGACCAACCTATACAAAACATTGACAAATGTTTTTTTCTTTTGAAAATATGAATGAATGAATGAAAAGTGGAAAAAAAAGAAAATAGGATTTTTCATTTCATTTCTTTTATTGTCATCTTTATCATCGTTTTCTTCAGCAAACAAACAAAATAAGAAAGATTATTATCATTATGGTGGTTAAATAAAGAGGGAATCGTTTATTTTGTTTCAAAAAAAACGAAAGTCTTTTTTTTCAAAGTTAACAACAGTTTTTCAATATATGCTCCATTTGTTTAATGGAGCATACGAGATCAATTTTTTCTTGTTGTTGTTGAATGTATGTGAATAGAACGCACCTATACGGTTGTTGTCTAACTGAATTTGTAAATATTGATAATGATTTTCTGCGTTATGGATATGATAACAAACTATGGAAAAAAAATCCGGGTCGAAAGGAAATTAGTTTCGATTCTAATTTTGATGTTTCTTCTTTCTTCTTTTATTGATGATTAATTTTTTTATTCAAACACAATCTACAGGTGTTATGGCATGGGCAATAAGCACCGAAGTTGTACTTGGAGCCAAACGTGAAGCACAACGTCGTAATGGCGGTGGTGGTGAATATCATCATGATTATCATTTTAAAATACCAAATGTAATAATAATATTTTTAACCGGGGAAGATTTCCCGACAAAAAAAACTTTTCTAAAATCTTATCTGTTTTTTTTTCTTGTTTGTTCTGAAACACAGAGATATGATTATACACGATTTACTAATGCACCACCATCATCAATGATGTTACCACAAAAACCTGAAATGTTGGTCGAAGATTTTAGCCATAATCATCGTCATCATCAAGATAATGATGATAATCAAAATAATAATTTGAACGCATTTCAACAAAGATTAGAAACATTAAGTAAAGAATTTATTAATCGTAGAACTGGTAATTGTTTTAATCAACGATTTTTAAAACATTTTTTGTAATTAATTTTTTTTTAATTTACAACAAAATTTAGATCCAGAAAATACTAATAATAATGATCAGCAAACAATTAATGAGCTAAAAAATCGTCTGAATCAAGAAAATTTAGCCGAATTGTTTGCCAAATTATTTGCTAATCATCATCAAAATCAACATAATCAACATTCTTCATTAAAAAATCAAAATAGTAACAACCCACGTATTGTAGTTTTAGCTGCTGCACCTAGTCAATCCGCTTCCTCTTCCATAGTGACCTCAACATTATCATCATTAGTAGCATCGAAAAAACATAATCCACATTCACATCATTTTATCAGTGAAACATCAATTACATCAACATCACAACCAAAAGCAATGGAATTGAAAATTGCATCACCATCATCAACCAATCGAAAAGAAACAGGTAAAAATCATTCACAACAACAACAACAAACTAAATCTAATGGTAAACAACAATCAGCTGCTTCATCATCAAAATCTAAGCAAAAACAGCAACAACAACAATCATCATCGACAAAAACGGATATCAAATTCAAAGTTCATATTGATCAACCGAAACAACGAAGACAACAACAATTGGAAAAAACAAAATCAACAGGTAAAAATGGAGCACATCCTAAAACGGTACCAACAAAATCATCATCGACAAAACCGACAAAATCAAAAAATTATGAAAAAGAATTTGATTCTTTGTTGAAAAAAATTGAAAATTTAGAAAAACAAAAATTTCAACCACAAAAGCAGACCAAAACCGAGCAAACAAAAAAAGAATTATTCAGTAATAAAAATACTGAAATTGCTAAAAAATTAAGGAAATTTATGGATACAGCACCAAAAGAAGAACCTGCAAGACCATTTATGTATCAATCTTCATTGATGCAGCAAATGCAAATGCAACAACAACAACAGCAGCAGCAACAACAAGAATCAACGGAAGCGGAACAACAACAACAGCAATGGGATCCAATGCCACCACAAATACCACCACCGATTCTACCACCCATGCCATATATGTCTGTACCATTTATGCAACAACAACCAATACCGCCACCACCACCACAGGATATGGAACAATCATCACAACAAATCAATCAAAATGAAATTTATCCAAATTATTATGGACAACAACAACAACAATATCCACCATTACCACAGCAACAGCCAGAACAAGGTTATCAACCATATCTACCACCGCCACCGAATGTTTATCAGAATTATCCACCACCATCACAGAATTATCCCGAACAACAACAACAATATTCACCATATCCTACTCAACAACAACAACCACCAAATATGATGCAATCATCAGATCAAATACAAACTTATGTTCATCCAAATCAATATCAACAATCACCATCATCGCCACAAGGACAACCTTATCAACATTATTCTCAACAACAGGAACAACAACAACAACCATTAGAGCCATTCATAGAAGATATGATGGAAACAACAACAAAAAAACCAAGTAAATTTAGTCAAATTAGTCGACGATTTCAATTAAGTAGAATATTTACATCGGTTATGCCTAAAAGTAAAAAAGCAAAAAAACGACCACAACCACCACCACAATCACAATCATCTGAATATCAATATGAAGATCCAAGACAAAATCAAATGATGCCACCACCAACACAAATGCAAGAAGAAGGATCAGAAATGATGGGAGGACCACCACCACCACCAATGGGACATGATGATCAACCACAATATGATCAAATGATTACACAAGAATCACGATATAAACCGGCATATAGAGGCCATGGCCATGGACATTATGGACCGAAAGAAGCAGCCGGTATGCAAGTTAGATTCGGTGCTGGCCCAATGGGTGGTGGTAGTCAAGTAAAAGTAAATCCAATGGCCATATTAAAAACATTAGCATTTCCTATGATGAAACGACCGGCAATGAATCTTAATGGTAAAGTTGTATTAGGTATTGTATTGGAAAATGGTGTAGGCGGTGGTCATGGTCCATATCGAAAACCAAAAACAGTATTCCAACATTATAGTACCGGTCGTATTAAAAGATAAATCAAGAATCTGTTCTTCAAATTTTTCATGACAAAATGCCATCTCAACACATAACAGACTTGAAAAAAAATTATTCACACAATGAAATTTTACATATAAAAATGCACACAAATGGTATTCAGCATTTTTGTTTCAAATGAACTTTTTTTTCAGGCTGGCTTCTAAGGGAAAAGTTCATTTTGTTGTTCATAATTTCATAAATTCACTTAGGACACTAAATTAATAGGATTATTGAAACATCATTTTTTCTTTGTTTTTTGGTGTGAAAAAACCATTGCTTATCCAAAAAACAAAATCACACTAATCATCATCAATTTTAATTTCACTCAAAAATCAAGTTGCCAATCTCTTTCTTTTTTTCAATTAATTGAACCGAACAAATTTTTTCAAATTAATTTTATTTTCTTCTTCATTTTATATATTTGTGATAGAGGCATTCTCTCTCTCGGTTGCTTGCTTTATGAAAAAAAATCAAATCAAACAAATTCTTCAAGTACAAATCTCTTAGGTTTCTCTCTCTCTCTCTCTCTCTCTCTCTCTCTCTCTCTCTCTATATGCTTTTTTTATGCCTAAAAGAAAACTTTTTTACCATTTTCATTTTTTTCCCAAATGTATTTATTNTTTATGAAAAAAAATCAAATCAAACAAATTCTTCAAGTACAAATCTCTTAGGTTTCTCTCTCTCTCTCTCTCTCTCTCTCTCTCTCTCTCTCTCTCTATATGCTTTTTTTATGCCTAAAAGAAAACTTTTTTACCATTTTCATTTTTTTCCCAAATGTATTTATTAGTTGACCACATTTTTTTCTTCATACTTTCTTTTGATTTTTTCAATTAATTTTTTTTATTTGTTGTAAAATTTTTAAGAATTTTCTCATACACACACCATATCGACATCAATCATAATGATGATTTACAAAAAAAACAACAACAGAAAACATTATTATTATAATTATTATTCAAATTTTTTTTCTCTCTTCTAACTGTTCATGTTTAGAATCAAATAAATTTTCTAAAAATTTTTTTTGTAGATTAAATCAAAAATTTGAAAAAAAATTCAAATTCGTTTACAAGTATGTTCACTAGATGGCAGCTGGTGTTGCATAGAATTTCTTCAACCAAAATCCAAAATGATCATTTTAATTGAAACGGATATTGTTTTTGTTTCGTGGTCATTTATCATTAAATATTGAAATGAAATGAGAAAAAAAACATCAACAACAGCAACAACAACAACCAAAAAGGTTAATTGAAAATTTCCTGGCCTTAGATATTCCGATCGACACACACACAGTGAGAGATGCATGCAGTCAGTTCAAACTTCAGTGCATTCTGTTTGATAAAAGTTGGCTTTCTGGTTTTTTTTTCTTTACCTGCCTTTTTCAAACAAACAAAAAACAAAAAACAAATGAAAAAAAAGTTTACATTGGAAAAAATATTTGCTTTTGGCTTACTTTGCTTTTGCTATGGCAAGCAAGCAAGCAAAAACAACAACAGCCATTAAAATTGAATGGTATTCCATAGAAAAAAAACGTAGTACAAACACAAGTCGGACGTTGTTGTTATATTTGCAAATGGGAATCATCCATTCTCTTACACACACTTTATCAATCTCTCTAGATTCACATATAGGTAAATACAACCAAATACCTGTCAAGTTGAGCAATAAATTATTTTCGTTTTTCGTTTTTTTTGTTGAATTTTTTTTTTTTTGGTCGAGAAATTCGTAATTTTTTTCAACACACTCACTCACTCACTTGCTTTACTTTGATTGCAATCAAATGATGATGTTCACTGCAATGGCTAGCTGGCTGGTTTGGTTATTTTTAAATGGTTTTTTTTTCATCAAGCGAAACAAAAAAAAATGATCGTTTGTTAGTGGTGGTGGTCAATGGTCATCGGCAATGTTGACAATCTTTGGCCACAGAATCGATCTGTTGATTCATAAACTTTGTTGTCTTTTTGATTGAAATCTTCATCAAAATTGAAATTTTAAATTTTAAAATTAAAACAAAAAAAAATACCCTCATTATAAATTCATCTTTTTTGATTGTGAAAATTTTTTGGTAATCTTAACTTGGAAAGAATTCCAAGAAAACAGAGAAAAAAGTTTTGATGATGATGTGTGATCTGCGTCGGCGATCAACTACATGATGGTAATGTCAGGTTTGATTGTGATTTGATCATCCGCATCATCAACATACAATGTTTTTTTTGCTGGCCATCATTTTTAGCCTGGCGGGATATCATCATTTTTAATATGAAAATTTTTTATTTTTCTTTTGGAGTTTGAAGTTTGAAAATGACTCATCTGAATGAATGAATGAATTTCATTCTGGTTGATTTTTTTCCAACGATGATGATGGATCGTATACGAATGGATGGATGGATATAATCAGCTTTCGAAAATTGAACTAAGAGAGAAAAACAAAATTCCTAAAACTAAATCTTTTTTTTGCACAACATTTTTCAATGGAATTTTCTATAGAAATCATTATCGTTGAGGGGAGAAAAAAAAGGGTTATGTTTGAAACATACAAGGGTAATAAATATTGTCAAGAAAAATTTTTGATCATAGATAATATTGCAAGATGAAGAGAAAGTGGCTATAAAAAGTTTTAGAAGAAAAAATTACACATCTCTCTCTCTCTCTCTCTCTCTCTCTCTCTCTCTCTCTCTGAATATGAATATTATCAATGATCATCATCATCATTTTTCTCGATAATAATAATAATAATCGATTGTTTTTTGACCCCTCTCTCTCTCTCTCTCTCTGTTCATCTCCACGACGACGGATGTATTCGTAAATGATGAAGAAGATGATGATTTTGATCTTCATCATCTTCAAATCTTTCACACACACCACATGATGCCCAATTCAAAGTCTTTGTCTTTGAATATATGCACACCATCATCAATCTATTTCAGGTAAAATCTGCATACATTGATTTTGAAAATAATCAAAATCCGAAAAAGAAAAAAGATTCTTTGCATATTGATTAGATATTGTGTCTATGTGTGTGTGTTTACTGATGTTTGATGTGTTTTTTTTGTTTGTGTGTGTATGATAGAATGCGGTCAAAACAACAACAACCAAACTTTGAATGAATCAATGTTTGATGAATCACCAACATCATCATAAACTGGCTGTATATATGATGCTTTGGTTGAAGAAAATCTGGCTGATTTTCTGTTTTTTTGTTTTTAAATGGGAAATAATCATAATAAATTTTATCTACCTTTAATAATAATCATAAAAAAATTATGATCAAGATCAGCATCAGCAGCAATAGTTATAAATCATTTTTGGTCAAATATAAATCCATATTGCTTTTATAATCAAACATCACCACAATACACATTTATCGGATATAGGATTTATTTTTTTTCTCACACAATTCATATCAATATGAAAAAAAAAATTTAATAATCATCAACCTAACCTCACTCAACTATGAATAACAGGCATAGTCATAGTCATCAACCTAACCTCACTGAACTATGAATCACAGTCATAGTCATAGTCATCAACCTAACCTCACTCAACTATGAATCACAGTCATAGTCATAGTCATCAACCTAACCTCACTCAACCATGAATCACAGTGGGCATGCAGTGATTACAGTTCATTCGTGTTTTTTTTAATTAAAATCATTTTGGCAAACGGTATTTTTAAAATTTTTTTTTAATATTCGTAAATGCCATTTTAAATGATATATGTAATCATCATAAATATGGATGATTGCAATTTTATTATTCGAAAAAATAGATAAAATCAATGCGGTTTGAAGAAGAAAAAGATGGCACTCTCTTTCACAGCTTATCAATAAATTTTTATTTCTTGCAAGAAAAAAACAAGAAATAAATAGATAATTTTGTCGAAAAAAATAAGATAAAAACCACCATCATTATCATTTTTTTGAACTTGACCAATTTACGAATTGTCACCATTATCATTATCATTAATCGACGATTGAAAAGAAAAAGAAATTTCAATCAATTCGGAAGAACCCCATTCAAATATTTTCATCATTCGTTCAAAAACAAACAACAAACAAGGATCGAAATAGCCATCATATTATTATTAAAAATCAAAAGAATCCAATCAATCTTAAGATTATCATTTCTTATATCTGATAAAGCAAGTGAGTGAGAGAGAAAGAAAATCGTCTATATAAGGCAAAAAGAACAACAAAAAAGATGTTTTTTCCGACAAAACAAAAATGCTTTTCAAATCTGGTTTTATGCAAAAAACGAAAAACTTGAATATTTTTTTTTTGTTTTAGGCAAATTGGAGCAACCTTTTTCGAGGAAGCTGAATGCGCGCGTGTAAAATACCTGTGAATATCAGCAACAACAACAAAAAACTTGTATGAATGAAAAATTGGTTTGTTTTAATTAGGAAAACAAAAACAACAAAAGGTAAATCTGTCTGGACAAGCGCAAGATAATAACGATGATGATGTTTTTTCTGCAGAAAAAAATTCTTTTTCCCAAAAAAACACTTTAACTAACCTGTCGTTTGGCGAAAAAATTATTTTTAAAAAAATGTATCGATCGGAATCTCTAATTTGTCGTGTTTTTTTTGTGGAGGGGGAAGTGGGGGAAGAAACAAATTACTAAACAAACTATTTATACACCAAACACACACCTTCAGGGTCAATCTAGTCAACAAAATAAAAAAAATACCAATATTGGATATACTCCATATATTCCAGAACAGAGCGTTATTAAAAAATAACTTTTTTTTTTGTTTTGTTTGTTTGAAAACTATGTATGGGCCCCTTAAATAATGAATTCATTTTTTTCTTTTCTCTCTTTGGTTGAAGACAATAAACCAAAAAGAAAAAAAGTTGATTTTTTTCCTTCTTCTTCTTCTTCAGTTGTGTTGTTACCTTCGTTATTTGCCTGTAAGGCGAATATGAAACGAAAATTTCAATCCAGGTAAAAAAAATTTTGTGTAGAAAATGAAATGAAAAAAAATCTAATCAACTCCATGACATGACATGACCATGAATGTGTTTCGTTCTTGTTCTTCATTCTTTCCACTTTGGAAAAAAATAGCCAGAGAGAGGTTAACCTTTTGTTGAGATTCATTCGTTTGCTGCAGGTGGCCATTGGCCCTTCAACATTCGTTCAAAAGCCTGTATAAGTGTGTGTATGTGTGTTGGTTGTTGATGATTTTACCTGAAACAAAAAACGGGAAAAAAACTCTCCCGGCTTCAAAAATAATCATGGTTGATAGTGGCCTGTCGTCGTCGTCTCTAACCATGACAAAATGATACAGACAGAGATAGAGCAGGAGAGAGGTTAGGTTAAATGTTTGTGGTGGTGGTAATTTTTTCTGGTCGATTTGTAGCACGATTTCATCATCATTGAATCATTTACCACCACCGATATTCAAAAAAGACCTTGGCCATTTTCATTGATTGAACTAAAAGAAACAAGCCCCGATTTTCTTCAATTTTTGTTGTCTTGTTCAATTCATATTCGGGATCGTCGAAATTGTTTGATTGCATTGCAGTGTGCTATGCTATTCAATTCATTCACAATCTTAATCGAGAAAGAAGAAACTTGTTGCACACACACATACATTTTTGCAAAAAAAAACATACGAAATGCGAAAAAAAATTCAAGATTCAAGTTTTCAATATAGCCGTATAAAGGAATGTATGCATACCATGTTCATATGTCAAATGTGAATGAATGAATGAATGAAGAAACAAGAAAATATTTTTTAAGGAATTAAGCGCCAAGCATGTGGTCACTTTTTTTTAGTGTTCTGTTCATTGGTTTGTTGCTCTCTTCTGTTTTTGTTTGTTTGTTTGTTGTTTGCTATGCTGAATACCCATCATACGAAATCTTTCATTTTTCAGAAAGGTAATATATTTTTACCTGTGTTGTTGTTGTTTCGGCAATCAAACATTTGAAACAGAAAAATCACCATTGATTCGATTCAATTCTCAATTTAGTGTTTTGGTTGAGAAGGAAAAGCGTAACTAGTGTGTTTATGGTCAAGTTTTTTTTCTGATCGAATTCCATTATCATTATCATCATGTTGAACACCTGAATTTTTGTTTTTGCGTAAAAATTCTTGAAAATATTTTTTTTGAATTAAGAATTTGTTCAGGTGTGTTGTTTGTACTCAGGTGTGTTGTTATAGTTTGTTTCAAAAGTTGTTTCATCATGTGATAATGTGATTTTTTTCGAATGGCAATCATTTTTGTCATCATTATCAATTTGAAATCTGTTCCAACAACAAAATCGAAATAAAAATGGGCAATGTTCCCGCATCATTAGAATTACCGGAAAATCGTCATCATCGTTATAGAACCGGAATAATGAAAATATTGATAAAATATTTATTAATTTATTATGTGATTTCATCATTATTATCATCATCAACATGTATACATGCATATAGTGATACTGTTTATTTTGAAGTGAAAGAAAATTCACCCGCACAAACATATGTTGGTCGGATACCAACAAAAAATGGTTTCCATTATCATTTCAATGATGATTCACCAATTGAATTTCATTTAGATTCGGAAACTGGTGTTTTAGTTACAACCGATGTACCATTAGATCGTGAATCAATTTCTCAATATAATTTTGTTATTTTATCATCATCACCAACATATCCTATACAGGTTAAAATTCGTGTCCTCGATGTTAATGATAATTGGCCAATATGGCCCGATTATATTAATACAAATTTAACATTTAGTGAATCAGCACCAATCGGTACACGTATTATTCTGGATAATCCATTCGATCCAGATGAAGGTGATTTACAATTTACAATCAATCTTATCAATGATAATAGTGATGATAGTGATGATGGTTCAACAACAAATAATATTACTAATTATGATAATGACGATGGTGATATAGATTTATCACCATTTAAACTCAATTATAATGCATCAACAAAATTTTTATATTTAGAAGTTTCTGATAAACTTGATCGTGAATTACGTAACAATTATCTTCTGAATATTACAGCCTATGATAATGGTGATGGTGATGGTGATCAACAACAACAACAACATTATAGTTCAGCAATATTTTCCATACAAATTTTGGATTCAAATGATAATCCACCAATATTTGATCATAGTGATTATCAAGTATCAATCAATGATTCAATTGGTAAAGATGCATCAATATTACAAGTACATGCAACAGATGCTGACCAGGAACAAAATGATAATAGTCGTATTAGTTATTATCTTCATTCAAATATTTTAAATGATTTTCAAATTGATTCGAAAACTGGTATCATTTCTACTGTTAATGATGGACCTATTCAATGTGGTCGTAATTCATATCATCCAGAACAAAATTTAAAAACAAAATCATCAACAAACAATGTTATTGATTATAACGAAGATAATATTGATGATGATAGCCGTATATGTGTATTTACCGTATTTGCCCATGATCATGGTCAACCACGTCAAGATGGTCGTACATATGTTACGGCTCGTATTATTTCAACTAATAATCATGCACCGATAATAAAATTTCGTTATTTTTCCAAATCCGTGAATGCAAATGTAGCGGAAAATGCCCAAAATGGTAGTGTTGTTGCTGCAATTTCGGTTATTGATTATGATCGTGGTCGTAATGGACAAACATGGTTAGAAATTGTTGATGGTAATCAATTGGGTCATTTTCGTTTAGAATCATTGGGTAATTCACATATAATCAAAGTAAATAGCCAATTAGATCGTGAACATATTGCTCGATATAATCTTACAATTATGGCACATGATAATGGACAACCATCTAAATATTCAACAGATAATCTGATTATAGTGGTTCAAGATCATAATGATCATGGTCCTAAATTTGATAAAGATATTTATGAAGCAACAATTGTGGAAAGTCAATATCAAATTGGTCAATTTGTACAGATTATACATGCAACCGATGAAGATGTTGGTATTAATGCACAAATATCATATTCAATTTCAGGTCCTGATTCACATTATTTTCATTGTGATCAATCAACCGGTTTGATTACAACCGATAAACAAATTGATCGTGAACAAATTGATTCATTCGAACTAAGAATTACAGCACGTGATGGTGCAAGTAATCCAAAATGGGCACATTCATTATTACGTGTTAAAGTTTTAGATCAAAATGATTGCCGACCTGAAATCCGTTTACCATCCGGTTATTATTTCAATGAACAAAATAATCAATATGAAGTGGATTTACCGGAAAATCAAAAATTAAATTTAGATTTAATTATCGATGATCAAGATCTTGGTCCAAATGGTACTGTTGATATCAAATTACTTTATGATTACAATGGATTGTTTCAAATTGATTCCAAACAACAACGATTAATATCAACCAAAGAATTTGATTTTGAACAACCAATCGTTTGTAATAATAATCGTAATTATCGATTAATATTATTAGCACGTGATAATGGACCTGAACCACTATGGTCATTACTGACAATCATTGTAAACATACAAAATGTTGATGATCAATTACCTGAATTGTATCCAAAACAATATTATTCATTTATACCGATACATGCAATCAGTATGCTAAATTATTCGGTTATTCTACAAAAACTTCAGATTCGTTCAAATGATTTTCAAATTCCCCTAAGTTATCGTATTCACGATGATGATGATGATGATGATTTTGTTCGACAATTTTTCCATGTTAATAATCAGGGAGAAATGCGTTTCAAAAATAATGCCAATATTCGTTCATTACGTAATAATAGACTAAAAAATCATTTTTCATTCAATATTGATTGTATTGGTTGTGCTTATGGTCATAATCAAACTCGTATGAATATATTTTTGATTGATAATAATAATAATAATAATAATAATACTGATTTTATCAATCATCCTAATCAACGACAATCATATCATTTTGAAGTACAGGAAAATGTTCCAATAGGAACGATTGTCGGTGAGCTTAACGATATAAATCTGGATCGATATCAACTGTATATAATTAAAGGTGATTTGGATGAACATTTTCGTTTAGAATCAAAAACATTGAAAACAAATAAAATTATTGATCATGAATATCGTTCGCATTATAAACTTCAACTGATTGCAATACGTTTTGATCATTTTTTCTATGTTGATTTAAATATTACCATAATCAATGTTGATGATTGTCAACCATATTTCATCAAACCATTCGATGTAATAGAAATTGATGAAAATGTTCCCATTATGTATAATGTACGACATTTGAATGCAATCGATTTGGATAATGATCAAAATTCAACCATCATTTATCGATTGATTGATAATCCATTCGATATGTTCAAGATCGATAATGATGAACTGAAATTGGCCAAAACAATGATCAACAACAACAACAATAATATTATGAAAAAATCATCATCATCAAACATTTATCCATTGATAAAAGTAACAATCGAGGCTATTGATAAAAATCGAGAACAGAAAATTGATGACCAACAACAACAATCAACTTTAACAAAAACGACGATAAATTGTTACCATCATGATGATGATCATCATTCAATGGCCATCATCAGGCTATTTATCAAAATCAAACCAGTTTTACAATCTGAATGGCGAAAACCTCATTTCCAACGAAAATTTGTCGAAATTTTTCTCACCGAATCAATTGCTGTGAATGAAAAATTTTATGAAATTAATATTGAAAATCTTCAAAATGATTCGTTTGTTTTTCAATTGTCGCCATTGAATAATGATAATGATTCGTCGTCATCATTGAATAATTTTGCCATATTACCAAATGGTCAGCTTTATATTCGTCAACGATTAGATCGTGAAATAACCGATCTAATTATGTTCAATATTAATATGTTCAATGCGGAATTATCAGTCAACAATACCGTTCCTGTAGATACAATGCAAATGTTAATCCATATCCAAGATGTTAACGATAATAAACCCGTATTCGATCAAGATATTTATGAATTTCAAATTCCGGAAAATATTTCCATTTCACAAAATTTCTATATTGGCCAGGTACATGCTACGGACAATGATTCGGGTCGTAATGCACAGATTGTATATAGTATTGTAAATTCTTATTATAGTTCTTATTTGGAAATTGATCCTATCAATGGTTATCTGTGGACAACGGTCAATTATGATCGTGAACAATTACAACGTTTTGAAGTTATTGTACAGGCTCAGGATCAACCAATTGATGAAAAATCCTATCAAACACAAACACTGGTTCGAATTGAAATTCTTGATATTAATGATAATCGACCTAAATTTGAAGTGCCTGCAAATGTTACCATAACGCATCAAAATGATGATCAGGATGTTTCAATGTTTGGTGAAATGTTGGTTATCGAAACAGCTCAAATTGGTACTATTTTAACACAATTTGAAGCTTTAGATTTGGATATTGATTCTATAATCAATTATCGATTAGTATCGAATGAATCTGATATGATCATTGCTACAATCAACAAAACAACAGGTCTGTTAATATTAACAAAACAATTGGATCGTGAAACACGTGATAATTATCAATTAATTATCGAAGCAAGTGATGGCCATTTTGCAAGTCAATTTTATCTAAAAATTCTGATCGAAGATTTTAATGATTGTCAACCAGAATGGATAAATTTTTCGGAAAATTTATTAGAATTAAATGTTGCTGAAAATATATCGATTGGTGAAGAAATCTATCGATTCGAAGCAATCGATCATGATCTAGGTTCAAATCGATTGTTTCATTTTGCCATTGATAATCAACAACAATTTGGAAGGCAAAAATATTTTGATATACTCGGTGATAAACTTGTTGTTATTAATCGATTAGATTATGAAAAAAATCATCAACACTTACTTAATGTAACATTGATTGAAACAACATTGAATCGTGTTGCAAGTTCAAGATCAATACGTATTAACATTGTCGACATTAATGATTGTTTACCAACATTCATCCGACGAACTGAAACCGAAGTAATACGCGTAAAAGAAAATATCGATATTGGTAGTAAATTATTATCATTACAAGCATATGATTGTGATCAAAATGATCAATTACGATTTGAAATCGATGCCTGTAATACACATTATCATACACATCGTAATATTTATCGGTTGGATGATGATGATGGTAATTCGAATGATGATAATTTGAATTCAAATTCAAATCAACAACAAGAAACACAACATAAACATGATTCAAATAATTGTCCATTGAAATTGAATAGTGAAACTGGTGAAATAATCAATATGAATAATCTGGATCGTGAAGTAATTGAATCAATAAATTTACGATTATCTGTTCATGATAATGTTGGCCATTTGGATCGTATGAAAATCATATTCATTATTGATGATGTTAATGATGAACAACCAATGTTTATAACACCGAACACAATTGTTATCGATAATAATCAACAACAACCAAATACTATTGTTGGTTCAGTAAAAGCAATCGATTTGGATCTAGGTGTAAATAGTGCCATTACCTATAAAATTGAATATTCATCATATGGACATTTGTTTGATTTGGATCCATTTACTGGTGTTTTTCGAACCAAAACTACCATAATGCCGGCTATTTTAACTGATGCGAAACCAATTCTTGTGAATGTTAGTGCTACTGATGGTGGTGGTTTGAAAACATTTGATCTTATTGAATTTATTCCAATCGATTCAAATCGACCATGGTTAGATGTAATCGATATTCGATTGGATATTAATGAAAATTTACCATTATCAACCGAAATTCATCGATTAGAATGTCATCATGATCATCGATCATCATCATCTGATTGCCATTTTTATCTAATCAATGCAACTGATCGTAATTTTGAAGTAAACAAAATAACCGGTATAATAACTGTTGTCGATCTGATTGATCGTGAAATGTTAGATAAACGATTATTACAGATATTAGTTATTGGACCCGAAAATAGATATCTACAAAGACAAAATATTCATATTAACATTTTGGATCAAAATGATAATCCGCCATATTTAACAAATACATCGATTATAATCGAAATATCTGAAACATTATCACCCGGTTCGGATATATTTGATATTTCAAAAATGATTGCCGATGAAGATCTAAATAATAAATTTGATTTTCAAATTATCAATTGTTCTACCTGTTCATCGAATAGTATTTTTGCATTGAATCGTAAAACCGGTATATTTACATTACAGGTATGTTTCAAACAACAATTGTTTTTTTACCTCAATCCTCATTGAATATCATATTTACTTTAATCACTTTACAGTCACCATTGGATTGTGAGAAAATCGATAAATATAGAATTTTATTCGGTGTTTCGGATGGCATTTATCTTCTTACATCATTGATCGATATTCACATTATTGATGTAAGTTTTTCATTTGTTTAGTGATGTTTAGATATTAAAAAAAATGTTATTTGTATTACTTGTACACAGGAAAATGATAATCAACCCTTTTTCAATCAATCTGAATATATATTTGGTATAAGGGAAAATACCGAAAGAGGAACAATTGTAAGTTTCTGTTGATGATCTTGATGATAATGATGGCCTAATTATCAATGTTATTTAATCGATTATAATTGTTGTTATTGTTTCGTTAAATTTTTTTTGTAGATCGGTCAAATACAAGCATATGATGCAGATATAAGCAACAAGAATCTAATCTATTCAATTGTCGATGATAATGATGATAATGATGATGATAGTCGAATGATAAATGATCTGGTATCATCAATATTTTCATTAGATTCACGTAGCGGACAATTTACATTATTGAAAAAACTTGATTATGAAAAAGATTCCGATGAATATCGTTTAAAAATTATTGCTAGTGATGGAAAATTTCGTTCACATCCAATACGAGTAACATTCAAATTGATAAATCTTTCGGATAATCCACCTGTATTCGAATCCAACATATATCGTATTGATATTATGGAAAATAAAATTGCCAACAATATTATCTGTTTACAAGCATTTGATGCCGATTTGGTTAACCATCAACAACAAAACATCTACGATTCACTACTGAATCAAACCAATGATGTTATTATGAATATAACATATTATTTGATCGATAATAATGGTGATAACAACAACAATCGACAACAACAGCAACAACAGCAACAAATACAAATCGATTATCAAACCGGTTGTTTATCGATTATTCGTCCATTAGATCATGAATCACAATCATCAATCAATCTAACAGCAATTGCATCAGATGGTTATTTAAATACAACAGCAACACTCATTATTAATATTTTGGATGAAAATGATAATTATCCAATTTTTTCGGATAAAATATCTCGAAATATTCGAATGGCAGAAAACACACCAATCGATACAATTGTTTATACGTTTGAAGCAAAAGATTCGGATTCACCACCAAATAGTTATGTTCAATATGAATTGATTTCGGAAAACAATGCAACAGATTTACCATTTATAATTGGTCCAATTGATGGTCAATTGAAAATAACATCATTGATTGATCGTGAGCAAAATGATCATTTTGATTTAATTATTCGTGCTACTGATTATGGTGGTCGTTCAACTGATCATCATTGTCGCGTAGATATTGATGATCTCAATGATAATTCACCCGTGTTTCGTCAACATTCATATGACCTAAATGTTTATGAAAATATAACTATTGGTCATTCGGTTTTTCAACTTGATGCACAAGATCTTGATCCAACTGATGAAATTAATTATAAAATAATTGCTGGTAATTCATTTGGTACATTTCAAATTGATGATGATAATTGTATTATTGTTGCATTGGATTTAAATTTTGAAGAAATCAATGAATATAATTTAAAAATTAATGCTATTGATCGTTCGGGTAATATTGATACGGTTAATATTCGTATAAACATTGTGAATGTATTGGATGAAAAACCAATGTTCGATCAGAATCGTTATGAAATCAATTGGTTTGAAAATCAATTGGGTGTTGTTGGTCAATTTTCAGCACGTTCCTCATCACAGGTTAAACATGTTTCAAATGAAAATAAACATCATTTACGATCATTATCAATGAATCATATTAATTATCTGCTTATGAATAATTTTAATGATAGTTTTCATCTAAATTCATCCAATGCAATACTATCGATTATACGACCAATCGATCGTGAACAATTACAAATAGAACAACAACAACAATCAAATATTATTGAATTGAAATTAATGGCTATTGATTCATTATCGAGACTGTCAAATATGGTTAAAATCGTAATCAATATTATCGATATTAATGATAATTTTCCAAGATTTGTTAATCCTTCATCATTACCATCATTAACGAATGAAATTTTTCATCTTAAAGAAAATTTTCATTACGATTCGAATTTTTCAATTGGTCAAATTAAAGTTGAAGATGCAGATGAATCGGATATTATTGAATATCGATTGAATCCAACATATAACGGTAGATTTTTAATCGATTCAAATGGTTGGATACGTTTACAACAATCATCAACAATGTTTGATCGTGAACAACAATCCCGATTTCCAATGGAAATTATCGTTTCGGATTCAAAACATACGATTCGAACAAACGTATCGATCGTTATTGATGATCAAAATGATTGTTCACCACAAATCACTAGAATTAATGGTATGACAACAGTTGCCAATTCTCCTGTGTTAAAATTACAAATTCCAACGAAAAAATTATCATCAATTTTCGAACATAATTTTCCGCTTGTCGGTCTTGAAATATTTGATTGTGATGAAGGAATGAATGGCCGTGTTCAGGTACGACTTGATGATGACAGTCTTTACAATGTTTTTCACGTTGATGATCAAACTGGTGTAATTAAAACCGATAGTCGTAATTTAAATGAAGAAATGTTGATGCAAATCAATCAAATTGATCTGATTTTGACTGATCAATCTGATACAAATCAATTAAGTACAGAATATTCAATTGAATTTGATTGGATCAATGATAATGATCATGAATATCGTGAAACGGAATTGATTCGTGGAAAAAATTTCATCGAATTATTTATATCCGAAACTAATGTTTTAAATCAAAATCTTTATCAATTTGAAACAAATATTGATTCCATATCGATTGAATTATATGCTGGTGATTTATATAATTATTTTTCAATTGTTAATCGATCATTGATCAATACTAAACCATTAGATTATGAAACAATTAAATCATATGATCTTTATCTACAAGCATCATCTACTACTAATCATCAATATCAATTTATATTCATACGATTGAATGTTGTTAATGAAAATGATAATCCACCAACATTTATTGAATCAATTTATAATGTATCGATACCGGAAGAAGAAGCAGATATTTTTGTTGCACAAGTTTGGGCAAATGATTTGGATGCATCAGATACACAGATAAAATATTCAATCATTGATGATGATAATAATCAATTACCATTTCGAATCGATCCGAATACTGGTCATATATTTACAACAACGAAAATTGATCGTGAATTAATTGATCATTTTCGATTGACAATTGCAGCTACCGATGATGATGGACTTAAAAGTACAGCAATAGTTTTGATAAACGTTGAAGATAAAAATGATAATCCACCACGTTTTACACATTTATTACGAACAAATATTAGTGAACAAACATCGATTGAAAGTTTTATTATTCAAGTACAAAGTCTGGATAAAGATTTGGGTAATAATTCCAAAGTAACTTATAGTTTATTAACTGAAACGGAAACATTTCGTATTGATTCGTTTAATGGAAACGTCTATCTAATCAATCGATTAGATCGTGAACGGAAAGAACAATATTTTCTTACTGTTAGTGCTGATGATGGTAGTTGGAAATCACAAACAACAGTTACTATTTATGTTTTGGATGAAAATGATTGCCGTCCGGAATTCGAACAACCATCATATGAATTTAATGTTGTTTACGATAGATTTTCCATCCAAAATCGTACAATCGGAAAAGTTCGAGCAATTGATCAGGATAAATCTTTGAATGGAATTGTTAGATATCGTTTGAAAGAAAGATCAAAATATTTTTCAATCAATTCAAAAACTGGTGAAATTATTCAACGACAATTACCATCGAAACTATATGAACGTGAAATGTCATTTTTAAATAATCATCAATTAACAGTGATTGCAATGGATTCTGGTCGTCGACCAAATTCAAATCAAGCAACTATTTTGATTCGTTATTATTCCGAAAGTCAAAATAGTATCGATAATGTTATTCGAATTCAGATTCCTGTTGATTTAAAAAATGAAACATTATTGTTTACATCGAATGCAATGATTCGATTATTGAATCAATCGAATAATGATCAAAATATTGTCCGAACTCAATATAATCAACTTTTATTTAATGGTGAATCGATTGTTCAAAACAACAATGTTTATCCGATTCGTATTGATAACAATTATGAAATATTTACGGTAAATTTATCGATAATTAATCAAAATCAATTTGCACCAATTTTTACGAAACCATCTTTGGAAACGAATTCATCGATAACAATTTCGGAACGTTTTGTTCAATCAAATCAACAATTATTGATCTATCGATTTGAAGCTCAAGATGCAGATTTACCAATCGATTCATTGAATAGCCAGATTCGTTTTTCATTCACTGTAAACAAATTATATTGGAATAAAAACCTAGATGATTATCTGGCAATCAGCTATAAAGATTCATTGGGAAATTTATTCAAAAAGAATCTTAGTTCTTATGAATTAATTGATCATATTGATGAATTAGCCGGTATAAAAATGCCATTTACAATGAATGAAACAACAGGTGAATTGAAACTTCGTAATAATTTAGATTATGAAATTATTACCGGTTATTCATTGATGATTACCGCTCAAGATTGTGCATGGTATTCAAAACAAACAACAATACCGTTTAATGTATGGATCGAAGATATTGAAGATTTTATTGGTTACAGTAAGTTTTTTTTTATTTAGTGAATTTTTGTTGTTGAAAATTTTTAATTTTTTCACAATTAATTTTTTTCTAGATTTAATTGATTCGGATAAACTATATCATGCATCATCAATGAAAACTGATCCAATGTCAATTGGTGTTATGGTTGTTATATTCTTTTTTGTCATATTAATTTTGGTAATATCGACAAGCTTTCTTGTTTATCATAATCAACGAAAACGACTTTTATCTGAAACAAGAAAAATTTCCAATCTAAATATTAATGGTGGTTGTAATTCTACGCTAAGATCTCCTTATGATATTCATTGTCAATTTTCGAATGATATGGTACAACGATTACAACAACAACAACAACAAGCTCAACAACAACAAGAAATAATCAACAGTATTGCGGCAGCCGCTGTTACAAATCAACATCGATCACAACAACAACCGACAATATCAGCATCAACGCAACATGTCCGTTTGAATTCAAATTTATCTCAAGTATCATCATTATCGCAAGTAACATCACAGCAACAACAACAACAACATTGTATTTCTTCGCCGCAATCGACTAATAATAATCAGATTATGAATCAAACTAGAAATTCAATCCGTAAAACTACGCAACAACAACGTTTACCTGTCAATCAATTATCATCATCATCGACGACGACATCACGTATGCCAATAAAACCGGATATTGTAGTAGCGCAATCACCACCTACGTTACCACCGCCATTGCCACCATCGTCGATAATAAATTCGAATCCAAATGTTCATCATCAGTTGGTGAATTCACCACCACCAACGATAGTATCATCAATTTATACACATTCAAATTCGGAAAACTATACTGATAATTATAGTAATATTTTGGCCAGTGCCGAACATTATGATCTAGAAAATGCATCATCAATTGCACCATCCGATATTGATATTGTTTATCATTATAAAGGATATCGAAATCGTGATCGTATTAATATGCATCATTTGAATAGTCAAACATCGAAAGGACATCCGCATCATCATCATCATCATGCACCATTATCACGATTAAGTCCTAGCGTTAGCGAATTATCATCAGCACATCCACATATTTTAACATTACAGGATTTACGTGAATCTCAAACAAACGCAGGAAATTCTTTAGCTTCGTTACCGCTACCACCACCACCACAATTACCGATAATGAATCATCGAATACCACCACCACCACAGCCACCTTTGCCACCAACGCAATCATCACAATCCATTAATAATAAACAGCCAACAATGATTGATGATGAATTGGAAAATAATAATTCCTATGGTGCTTATTCTGTATATACGGGCGTTGGTGGTGGTAATTCAACCGGTGGTGGTTGGTAACCAACGTAATTCTAGTCATTTTCGTTATTGTAAATTTTTCTACAGCCGATGCATGTAAATATTATTTTGAAAAATAACTTCGAAAAAAAAATTCCAGAAAGAGCTTCACCATTAGTTTCCCAGTATTAATTTTCAATTCAAACACACACACCATTCATGTGCCAATTTTAATCAAATTTTTCTGTTTATCCAATTTATTTATGGCTATTCTTTTTTGAATTTGTTTTTTTTGAATTTTTGAATCTTCAACAATTTGTATACAAACATTTATAAACACTGTACATTTTGTACATTTTTTGTTTGCCAATTTTCAAATTATTATTATTAAATAATGATGATTATTACAATATTTGTTATTAATTCGGTGTCAGCAATTTATTTAATGCAGTTACCAACAATAACAAAAAAAAATTATCCTGTTGTTGTTGTTTTTTAACCTTTCCACCTTAATTGATGGTTGACTTTGGTTTCAATGGAAAAAAAATGACAAACCCAGTTCCGACGCCTGAAAATTGTTCTTTGTCTTTCCTTTTCGATTGTCATTTCCAGTTTTCATTAAACGCATGCGTTCAATATACAAATACAGTGTATCTTCTTCAATTTTTCATCAATGTTTGTATGAGTGTATTCAACATTAATGAGATATTATACTGTATCGAAATGGTTGTTAGGCAAGGGAGCCATGGCAGTCATTCCAGGGTGATTCAAGATTGAAAAAATAAAGATTGCGCATGCTACAAAACTTTAATTTTTTGATCGATTCGTTGATCATCATCGTCATCATTATCCCGAAAAAAAATTGTATCCACCCGTTTCACCGTATATTTTTTTTGTACCAAATATGCATTAGGATTTTGATCATGCGCATTACAAAATTAAACTTGATTAACCTGATATAGTTACAAAGGGAAAAAGAGAAAAAAAAACAGATACAGGGCGAACTTACCATGATTGCCACGAGAGCATACACTGTATATAGCAAAAAAAGGTAGTAGCACGCTACAATGAATGATTGGAATACAAATTTTTTTTTTCATCAACACTGGTTTGGTTACTTTTTTTTTGTTTGTTTCTTCTTATCATCGTCATCATCATTTTTTTTTTTTTTTGCACTTCAGGAGGGATAGACAGCCACCAAAGGATATTGTTTACACGATAGTGGATGGGCAAAGAGCAAAAAAAAAAATATTTTGTAACTCTATTGCCTCCCCCCGCTCAATCATTCTTTTCCTCCCTCCTTCCCCCTTTCAGCAGTGTGTTTGTGGTGACGACAAATGCGCTTCGAATTGTTATTCTATCTTGTTTTTTCTTCTTTTTTGTGGAAAAAATAAGCAAATCTCTCGATTTTGATGATGATGATGTTGATGGTTACATTTTGATTGTGTGAAATCATTTTTGTTTTTTTCCATCGAAAAAAAACCGCTATCTGTTTTTTGTAACAACCTCGAGAGAAATATTCATCAATTTTGACCATTTTTGAAAAAACAATCAATTTCCAAGCGGTTTTGCGACCAACTTTTTGTTGTGATCATCGACCGAATTGTTTTTGGATCAGCAAAACAATATGAATAACAATACATCGATGGCTGCCGCATTTCAAAGTAAATTCCGTTAATCAATATGAATTGTCTTTGTCTAATTCATTCATTTTGATAGGTTTGGCCGATCTTTGTCATCGTGAATATCAAACTGGCGATTATGAAAATGCTGAACGTCATTGTATGCAATTATGGCGCCAAGATACAACTAATACTGGTGTTTTATTATTGCTTAGTTCAATACATTTTCAATGTCGAAATTTCGATAAGTAAGTTTACCATGATGGACCTTATCTCGATTCGAATGTCATTTGTTTTTTTTGCCCCGAAAACAGATCGGCTACATTCAGTAATTTAGCCATCAAACAGAATCCATTATTAGCCGAAGCATATTCCAATTTGGGTAATGTTTATAAAGAACGACATCAATTAAAAGAAGCATTGGATAATTATCGTACAGCTGTACGTTTGAAACCTGATTTCATTGATGGCTATATTAATTTAGCTGCTGCATTAGTTACTGCCGGTGAAATGGAACAAGCTGTACAAGCTTATGTTTCAGCATTACAATACAATCCAGTATGTGTCACATATCTAATATTCTTACTTTTGACTGATTATGCATTCTTTATTATCATTATTCCAAAAAGGATCTATACTGTGTACGTAGCGATCTGGGAAATTTACTCAAAGCATTGAATCGTTTGGACGAGGCAAAGGTAAACTAATTGTGGATCATGATCTAAGGATCAAATTTTTTAAAATTTAATTTGTTGCATGCTTTTTTTTAATTTTAAAAATTTTCCCATCCCTAATTCATTACCTCATCCACCTGCATGTTGCATGTTTTTAACCAATCATATCATTGCATGAATAACCTTTGTTCCCCTCAAAAAAATATCCTATGAATCCTTTTCCCTTTGCATGCTTTTTTTTATATATAAAATTTCGTTTTTTTTTGCGTATAAAAAATGATTCACTTGATTGGAAACACACAACCAGCCAGCCAAAATAATCGATTGATAATCTTATCAAAATAATTATGATGATGGTTATGAATAATATTGTATGACCATCACACAATGACGAATCAAATCTTTAAATATTTCGTATCTCGATAATAGGCTAACAAAAATTTGATTATTTTTTGTAATTTCCTGATTTATATCTATAGGCCGGGAAGAAAATTTCTCGAAAATGACTGGCGCTTTTTAAAAAATTGTTATTGTAATTCCATTTCCTCCTTTCCAATTTATTCAGAATGATGATGAATTGCGTTTTTTTTTTGAAAAATTGATTAGCGACTAAGCTGAATGATGATTTAGTTTTGCTTGATACATTGCGCGCAATTTTTAAAAATTGAAAATATTTATGTTTTCAGTGAAACAAGTGGCGTCATCGCGTGTCATGCAGTATGAATTATTGGCGTGTTTGAAATTTAAGCGTTAAAAATGGCGCGCTGCTTTTTTTTGTGTGGTTTGTTTATATTATGCAGCAAAGGGTGTGTGTGTCAAAAATGCAAATAAATTTCTAAAAGTCTGGTTGTTGTTGTTATCCGATTCTTTATTCAATGCGTAAATATCCAATCAAGTGAATCCGGTATTTGTGTTATTAAAAAAATAATAATAAAAATCTAAACTCAATTAATCAGGATAGTATAGTCATAAAAATCAGGTTAGAATAATCTTTTAATTTAGTTTAATTAGGAACATTTTTTAGAATAAGAATTCAATATAAATAATAAAATCAAGCAAAAGCCATGAATAGAATAAGTAAGAATAAAATAAGTTAAGAATAAAAAAGGACCAAAATAAGTTAGATTTAAATTTCGATTAACATCACACATTGATTTAATTTGATCAAAATTGACAATGCCAAAAAAAAAAATTATGGAAAACCGTTTGAAATTCTGTTTTATATTCAAGTTATATTAATTGATTTTCTTTTTATTTCTTTTTTATTCTGTTCGGTTTTTTTTCTCTCAATGATTAAAGTGAACAGACAAAATTCTCTCTCTATCTCACATATCTGCGCATTTTACATACAGGCACAGTTTTCAGATATTAAGAAAGAAACAATTGAATGATGATGATGATGATGACTGATTTGAATAAATAAAAAAATGACTAAATGTTATTGATGATGAATGTCAAATCTTAAAAACAATACGTACAGGTAATGTTTTATCTGAATGTGATCTATTGATTTGGGTGTCTCTGTCTGTCTCTGGTATCTATACAAAATTGAACGATTACGATGATGATGATGATCACCGCATCAATCTACGTGCCTCTGCCAAAATTATTGGATTTTTTTTGTTGGTAACGTGATATGAAGATATTATCCCGATTCGATTAATGATGATGATATACCTGGATGTTTACTGAAAAAATAATTCTGGTAATGACCGATGACCACATATCGCTGACCGACATCATTTTATGCGTAAACCATAAAAAAATCAATGAAAAAATGACCAGAATCAAAAAAAAAAAAATCCTACAATGATCTCTCTTCCAATGGAGGTGTTTTTTTTCAGCCAGGTTTTTTATTTAAAATTTTTTGTAATTATCAGTATTATGTAAGTGTGTAGTCTTTTTTTCAAAAACAATTTTGTATAGGGATTCAGGAAATATGAATTGATTAGAAATGATGTTTTGGATAATTTTTTATTTGGGCCAGAAAAAAAACCTTTCACCAAAAGAGAGATCATTGTCAAAAAAAAGGATTATTTTCATTTCAATTTATATTCCGTTAACACTTGGCCAGGAAAAATCTTAAGCGCAGGCGATTAGTGCGATATGCAAATGCAGCAGCAGCAGCGGTATTTTATTTTTATGCGGCGGCAGCAGCAGCAGCTTTTGCGGCATTCCAAAAAAACGGATGCATACATGCGGCACACGCAGCACATTGCGATTGCAAACACAAATATTGCGCGGCAGCAGCGGTGACCGCAGCGGCAATTCGCAGCGAAAGCTCTATCAAGATTTTTTCACTGGCCAAGTGTTATATTTTTTTGAAAAATTTTAAAACCCACATTCATATTTGCCACACATCCAAAAATTGACTTATGAACTAATGGTTATCATTTTATTTTTCCTTTTTTCTGTTTGGATTTCTCTTTTGCCATTTCCGAATTTTTTTTCTCTATGTGAAGGCTTGCTATTTGAAAGCAATCGAAACATGTCCTACATTTGCTGTTGCCTGGAGTAATCTTGGCTGTGTATTCAATGCACAAGGTGAAATATGGCTGGCTATACATCATTTTGAAAAAGCCGTATCATTGGATCCGAATTTTCTTGATGCCTATATCAATTTGGGAAATGTGTTGAAAGAGGCAAGAATTTTCGATCGTGCTGTAGCTGCTTATCTACGAGCATTAAATTTAAGCCCGAATAATGCAATCGTACATGGAAATTTGGCCTGTGTTTATTATGAACAAGGATTGATTGATTTATCGATCGATACATATCGACGAGCTATCGAATTGCAACCAAATTTTCCGGATGCTTATTGTAATTTGGCAAATGCATTGAAGGAGAAAGGACAGGTAACTGAAGCGGAAGATTGTTATAATACAGCATTACGACTTTGTCCTACACATGCTGATTCATTGAATAATTTGGCTAATATTAAACGTGAACAAGGTTATATTGAAGAAGCTACACGTTTATATTTGAAAGCATTGGAAGTTTTTCCGGAATTTGCTGCTGCACATTCAAATCTTGCATCGGTATTGCAACAACAAGGAAAACTACACGAAGCATTACAACACTATAAAGATGCTATTCGAATATCGCCAACATTTGCCGATGCTTATTCAAACATGGGAAATACATTGAAAGAAATGGGCGATATTTCGAATGCATTACAATGCTATACTAGAGCTATACAGATTAATCCGGCATTTGCCGATGCACATTCCAATCTAGCATCGATACATAAAGATTCGGGTAATATACCGGAGGCAATTGCATCATATCGTACAGCATTGAAATTGAAACCCGATTTTCCTGATGCTTATTGTAATCTTTCACATTGTTTACAAATCATTTGTGATTGGACTGATTATGATGTTCGTATGCGTAAATTGGTATCGATTGTTGCCGATCAATTGGATAAAAATCGTTTACCATCGGTTCATCCACATCATTCAATGCTGTATCCATTATCACATCAACAACGACGAGCAATTGCTGCAAGACATGCAGCATTATGTTTTGAAAAAATTCAAATCCTTCATAAACCACCATATACTTTTCCAAAAGAACTTAGCATAAAGCGTATAAAAATTGGCTATGTTAGTTCAGATTTTGGTAATCATCCTACATCACATTTGATGCAATCAGTACCTGGAATGCATGATCGTAGTCTTGTTGAAATCTATTGTTATGCATTATCACCGGATGATGGAACTACTTTCCGATCAAAAGTTGAAAATGAAAGTGATCATTTTATTGATCTAAGTTCAGTTGTTTGTAATGGAAAAGCAGCTGATCGTATACATGCCGATGGTATACATATACTAGTCAATATGAATGGCTATACAAAAGGTGCACGAAATGAAATATTTGCTTTAAAACCGGCACCAATTCAAGTTATGTGGCTTGGTTATCCTGGCACTAGTGGTGCATCATTTGTTGATTATATTATTACTGATCGTGTTACATCACCGATTGAAATTGCTGATCAATATTCGGAAAAATTGGCCTATATGCCTGATACGTTTTTTGTTGGTGATCATAAACAAATGTTTCCACATTTGATGGAACGTGTTATTCTAATGGATAAATCATCTGCATTAGATTCAAATGACTCATCTGATCGTAAAAATATTCCGACCAGTTTACCTGATACAGTATCGATTGTCAATGCAACCGATCTATCGCCAATTATTGAAAAAGCTGATGTGAAAAAAATTCGTGAAGTTTCTGTCGTCACGACAACATCATCAATTGCTGCCAATAGTAATCGTTCGAATAATTCAGCTAATCAATCAAATGTTGCCGTATCACAAACAGAAAAATTTGAAGTAGTAAAAACGGTAGTCGAATTACCTGCAACACAAGTAGTCCAAGCAATGATCAGTAATGGTCATGTACAAACATCGGTAAATGGTCTGGTCGTACAGAATGGTTTGGCAACAACACAAATGAATAATAAAGCGGCAACCGGTGAAGAAGCACCAACAGCTATATTAGTGACAACTAGACAACAATATGGCCTACCTGAAGATGCAATTGTTTATTGTAATTTTAATCAACTTTATAAAATTGATCCAAAAACATTGAAATGTTGGATTAATGTAAGTAATAATTATCATTTTTTATTGAATTTTAAATTAAATTATGTTTTGAAATTGATTAATTTTAAAGATTTTAAAACGAGTACCGAAAAGTGTCCTATGGTTGTTACGATTTCCAGCAGCTGGTGAAGCGAATGTTCATGCTATTGCACAAAGTTATGGTCTATCACCTGGACGTATTGTATTTTCGAATGTTGCAGCAAAAGAAGAACATGTACGACGTGGCCAATTGGTTGATATTTGTCTTGATACACCATTATGTAATGGTCATACTACCGGTATGGATGTTTTATGGGCCGGTACACCTATGTTAACATTACCGGGTGAAACATTAGCATCACGTGTAGCATCCTCACAGTTAACCTGTTTAGGTGTACCCGAATTGATTGCCAAATCTTATGATGATTATGAAAATATTGCTGTTCGATTGGGAAATGATCGTGATTAGTAAGTTTAAAAAAATCGTTTTTTTTTGAATACATTAAAATCAATAAATATTCTATTTCTCCTTTTCTCATCATATAGTTTGAAAGCAATTCGAGCGAAAGTTTGGACAGCACGTACCGAATCACCATTATTTAATGTACGAACTTATACAAAAAATCTTGAGCGTCTATATTGGAAAATGTATGAAAATTATTTGAAAAATGATAAGCCACAACATTTGGTCGATTGGTGGATGTAAATCGAATGTAACCGAATAATGATGATAATGTTTATTGGCAGAATATTGTTTATTGAAACATTTTATCGGTCAGACCATCAGCAAAAAAAAAACTTTAAAAACAATCATACTTTACGATCATCATTTATTAGACACTACCCATATGCATACATTACTTTTTCTCTCTTTCTTTCTTTTTTGATATACTCATATTTGTCCCCCCTGATATAGTTTGATTGATTGGTTTGTTTGCTTAACATTATTATTATTATTCTCATCAACATTATCATTCATTGTTGTTTTTGTTGTTGTTACTCCAAACACACACACGTTTTGCATGAATTTTCTCATATGATGATGATGATGATTATATTTCGGGAGTAGGATATAGACATGAATTCTTTTTCTGATTTGTTTCTGTTTGTAATGTGCGTGCATCTTATCGTAACCACCTATCGTTATTTTTTTCTGTTTTTTTTTCGTCTTCATCGATCCAGTCCATTGAAAATGATGATGCTGATCAATTTAATAATATTACATGGATATGAAAAACATTGTAACTTTTTTTCTATTTTATTTAAACAAAAAAAACTATGAAAAATAAATTATTGAATTTTGCGAACGAAAAAAAAATTGATTGATTTTCTTTGATTCTTTTGGTGTTTTCACGCGAAAGTTTGCAAATCATATCGATAGATTGGCTTTCGATTGGTTTTCTTCATTTAGATTTCAAAAAAATGAATAAATGACAACAGCAGTGTTATTCAAGAATGACGAATTAAAAAACAAAACAAAAATCCCATTGGACATTGGATTGAATGAATGAATGAAAATAGATTCCATTCACACATTGTTGTTGCTGTTTTTTTTTGTTGTTGCAAATCGATCAATCGATCAATTGATCGATCACTATATAAATGTGACAATATTAATAATAACAAAAAAGAAAAATATTCAATCCATTATTATATATTATATCTTTTCATTATTCATCATTTCATTCATTGAAAATCATAATAATGATTATCGTTTATGAATGATTTTCATTGAATGATGATGACGATGATGAATAAGCAAATGAAAGAAAAAGGAAAATCAACATTTTTTCTATCAATATCCATATCAATATATATTGCCTTATCGTTATTTTTTATCTTATTTTTATCTTATTATTATTGATCACATTACACACACATTAAAAACATTAATTTCGTTTCCTTTTTATTTTATTTGGTTATATTCTCTGTGTGTTTGTGTTTATTCAGCTTTGATGATCATCATTTATTCAGGTTTTTTTTCTGCCTGAAATGAATCCAAAAAAACAAATATCCACCATAGATCGGTATCAGTAAAGTTTCTTTCAGCTTGAATTCTTTTTCCTTTTAATAGTTTTTTTCTGTTTCTTTGAAATTGGATGCAAACAAAAAAAAAACAAAACAAAAATGTCTACAAAAACATTTTGTGGCCGAAAAAAACATCATCATTATTATCATTATCATTATTATGAAGCACTTAACGACGACGATTATTTAATTGAATCTATTACAGTTTTATTTTTTATTTTTTTTCGGCAATATTGAATTTCCAAAATCAAGCAAAATTATTTTTGATATTCGTTTTTTCCCTAAAGGCTTTCTCTTTCTCTCTCTCTATCATATTGATTCACTGATTGATTTCGATTTTCTGTATAGAATTTTTCAATGATAATTCTATTGTGGAAATTTTTTTTTGGATAAAAACAAGAATTGTAACAAAAAGGAATATTAAACCATAAATGTGCTACTTTTGGTCATGTAATGTAATATTATTGTTTTGTTTTTAATATAAATTACATAATAATCATTATGATGATTATGATTATGGCTCAACAAAAAAAAATGACCATCATCATCATCATCTTGTGATATTCATTATCAACTTTTATTATTATTATTATCGCTATTTTTATACATTTTTTTTGAATGGTAATTCATTTGCATATTTACAATTTATACTTAATACAACAAACAAATTTACACATGTCGGTCACATCTGGTTCCATTTATACGATTCTGTTGGAATTTGACCAAAAAAATAAAATAAAATAACCAGAAAAACAAACAGACAATAATTTGCCTCTGTGTGTGTGTGTTTGGCCACTTATAGATGATAATGATAATAATGATAATGGCAGTGTATGACAGTTAGATAATATTAAATTTTTGTCATTAAAATATATGGCGCAAAGCCCTTCCCCTTTCTTCTTTTTGAAAACAAAATTGATATTTTCATTTAATGAACAAACCAGACAGACCAACAACAACAACAACAAAAATGTCAACAAAAATGACCAATTTTTTTTGTTTCGTTGATCGGTTTATGCTTGCATAATAATCGTAAATTTGAAATATAAAAAAAATGTAATGTGATATGTGATGATGACAATTCATTTAAAATTATGACCTTGGAAAACAGCAAACAATGAAATTTTACATTATCCAAAAAGAAATTAAATTAAATTAAATTTTATTTTATTTATTTGAAAATTGGTAAAAGGTGTTTTGTTTTTATTTATTTATATACAAATACAATATATTTTCAATTATAATTATAATTTTTTCTTTTTGACTTTATAATTTAACAACAAAAAAAGTTTTATTTATTTTTGGTTAATGATTCAGATAAATAATGAATGAAAGTAATGATGCATGATTGATTTATTTGTTTTAAATTTTTTTCTTTTGTAAAAAAAATTATTGAAATTTTTTTTGTTTGTATTTTTGGGGAAAAATAATTTTTACATCACTTGTTGTCAATGATTGGTCCAGTTGATTTGATCGATTTTCATTGCCACCATCAAACCATTGATCGATTGAAACGATTGATTGATTGATTGATATTTACATTTATTGTTTGTTTGAATACAATTTAAAATAAAAAATGAAAATTCAATTTTTTTTCGGTTTTGTTTTAAACATCATTTTGATTATTGTTATTAATATTGTTATTATTATTGTTATTATCTAAATTTAATATCTTTGTATTTGGTTGCTTATTACTATTAATATTAGTAGTAGTAGTATTATTAGTATTATTATTTTGACACATACCAATTGTCAATTCAGTTTGTTCGGAACGATTTTTTGGTTGTCGATTACAAGCAATTACACGACGAAATGCTTTACGAAAGTTTTCCGATAAAAATGCATATCTTTTTTTCATTTGATTTGATTTATTCGATGATGGTTCATTGGTGATCAAATAGTTGTTGTTTGTTCGATAATCCATAAAAAAATGTTTGAATCGCAATGGGGGTTTACAGATAAGAAGATAGAAGTAAAGAAAAGAAAAAATAAAACATAAACATTAGAATGTTGTCATAATCATACTGAGTTTGTGTGTGACACACCGGCTATAGATGATATCAAATGTAAATAAATAGAAAAAATGGATTTGTAATTAATCTTTTTTCACTATATTGCGTGTTAGAGAGAGAGAGAGAGAGCGAGAGAATGTATAACGATAACAAAACGAACGATGAAATTTCACCACCATTCATTCACCGTTGATTGTAAAAAGAATCTTTTTTTTCTTTGCTAAAATATTAATCATCTTATCTTTGTCTGTCTGTCTGTTTCTTTACTATATTCTTTTCTTTCCGTTATAATGTTGCTGAACGCCTGTTATTTTTTTGTTGTTGTTGTTGAAAGCACGATATACGACAACGATGATGATGATGATGATAAAGATTTAATATAGTTTTGGTTTAGTTTTTTTCACTAACTAAAAATAAGAAAATCTTTCTATTTTCATCAAAAAACAAAACAAAACAAAACAAACATCATCTGATAATGTGAATGTCATGAAAGAATTTTCTATATTCTTTTTCTTCTTCTTTTTTCTCGATATGTGATCCTATAGTTATTTCCTATTTCGTTTGCTTGAAATTTAATCTTTTTTTTGTACTAATTCTCAATCCAAGTTGATAAAAATAATAATAATAATAAAATATTGTTTTCCAGTTCAATCATCATTCATTCAATTCAATCTTATGTCGATGTCATAGTGATTTGTTTTTTCTTTTTGTTATTTTTGTTATTTTTTTGTCATTCGTTTTGGATCATAGTAGCTGAGTATACTAGAATACTTACAGAATTGGATTCATACAGCTGTTCATATAAGCTATATTATTTTTTTCGTTTGTATTAAAGAATTGAGGAAGGAAGAAGAAAAGAAAAAGAAAAAATGAATGAAAAATTAGAAAATTGAAAATCACCAGGAAAAAGAAAAGTAAAGGAAGAATTTCGGTGAAATTTTTGTTACGAGCCAGAAGAAAAAAATCCAATGGAAAAAATTTTTCATTTTTTTTGAAAAAAATTGAAATTTCCAATCAGATTAGGTATGTCATCATCATCATCATTATTCTGACTAGCTTATAAATGTAAAACATTTTATAATGATGATGACGATCTTTCGATCTGTCAACATCATTACATCATCTATCCATTTGTTTTTTTTTCATTTCTGTTGATTTCCGGCAAAAAAAAAATATTTTCATTTTTTTCCTATTCCAAGTACAAATTGTATCAATTTATAACATTTTTTTTTTCATCATCATCCATTTAGCATCGTTCGATCAAACAAAAAACAAATTCATAAATGATTTCCGTAAAAATCATACAAAAAATATTTATCATATTTTTTTTCTTGTATAATGACGATAATGATGATTCTGTTTTTGAATGAAAAACAAATATTCTGTATTTGTGTGATGTGTGCGTATGATGTGTTTGATGATGTGGAGAAGAAAAATTTTTTTGTCATTAATTAACAAATGATTAACAACAAAGCTATAGATTTAGGATCCACAAACAAACAAACAAACAAAAATCACAATACAATTTTATTCAATCAATTGAATCGATCGATTCTATATAGATTTCAATATATAAGATTCTGGAACACTAGATTATTTGTGGTCAAATGAACATGAACATTTCTCCAAAAAAAAGAATGCAAATGTTCTTCTTTTCTGTTCACTAAACTTCATTTCATTGAAGAATGAATGCAAAAAATTTCCCACACACATATATTCATTCAATTCTTGAATTAATCATTCTGATCTTTTTCATTTGCCACAATCAACTTGAACAATTGAATAATGATGATGATGATAATGACAATAAATAAAATACATTTTCCATTTGCATTCAATACTATCATAACACTTGAAAGAAAATAGTTTTGAAGAGAATTGAATTTTTTTGGTTTCCGATTAATTTATCGACTTTTTCATTGATGATGATGATGATGAATGTTGGTCACATTCAATTTGTTGGTTAGTTTTTTTATTATATAACAAAAGCTTCTTTCATCATCATCATCATTATTCGGGTCAATTCATTCAGTTAAATGAAATGATCATTCAGTAGGATCATTTTGTTGTTGTTGTTGATTCGTTAATTCTCAATAAAAACGGATACCAAGTGTGGAATGTTGTATGTGTTGTTTTTGTTGTTGATGCAATTTATTTATTGAGAAAAATAAAACAGGAAACTACTCTCATCATCCATAAATGTTTAAATGAATGAAAAAAAATTGCCTCTTCCTTATGACAATCAATCAATCAATCAATCATTTATATTGGCCGATTCAATCGATTTATTTATTTATTTATTCGGTTATATATTACTTTACTATATGGACCTTTATTAACTTATAATGTCAAAAGAAAAAAAAATTTTAAATTGGAAAATGTTTCGAGTTTTTTGTTTGTTTGTTTGTTTTCATTTGGCTAGTTTTTTTCAAAATAAAGTTGATGATATAAAATGATTTGATAAATCGATCATCATCGATCAACAAACAATTTAAACTTGAAATTGTAATTTTGTTTTTTTGGCCCACTGGATTGGATTGGAATGAAAATATGATTGGAAATGGGAATAGAGAAAAGTAAAAGAAAAGTAGAATAAACTTACCTAAAATATGACCAGTAATTTGTATAATAACTTTGGTTGTTGATAATTCATAAATATTAAAACTACGTAATACAAGTATAATCTGTATTGGACACCAACAACAAGCAAATATAATAAATACAATAACAACCATACGTGTAACTTTTTTTTTAGATCGTACTGATTCTGTACTCATATTACGACCAGGTATACCACTAAACCATAAACGTTTTAACATTAAAACATATAATATTAATATTAATATTATTGGTATTATGTAGCTAAATAAACAGAATATAACTTGATATAGGGCATGATTATATTTATCTGTTAAAAAATTGCAAACAGAATATGCACCATCCGGTTGATCATATGATACATCATGTGTAAAAAATGTTGGTATACAGAATAATAATATAAATATCCATAATATTAATAGTGCACGATTGGCATTCTTTACTGTACGTAATGATATTGAACGTATCGGATGAGCAACGGCCAGATAACGATCCAATGACATTAATACAAGCTATATAAAGAAAAGAAAATAAAGAAAATTTAAAGAATTAATATAAAATCAATCAATCATTCATTCTTTTTTCATCAATAACTCTTTTTCTTTTCTCATTCTTTCTTTTGTTTAATCCACTCTAATGTACACACACATATCATCCAAAAGGTTTATAACGATATTAACGAAAAATAAAGAAATATCGACATTATACATGCAGAATCTTATACATACAATCAAATCCAATGGAATGTTATTATCATTATTATCACTATTATAAAACAAGCCGTATTCTATATATATTGTTAATATTGTTTATCAATAATGAAAGAAAAACAATGTATCCAAAAAAATCATTATGATTGATAGATAAACACCAACACACATACACATATACATTGTGTAAAAGGGCAGGAATAAAAAAAACAAAAAATGAATGTTTTTGGGATCAATATTCATATTGAATGGAATCCTAAATTAAAAATTCTCTTTTCTTGACATAGTGTTTATTATACCGAATCGATATGATTACGTAAACGATTATTTCCGTCATTTGTCTTTTTTTTCCACCGTATATAATCCGTCCATTATATAATCAATAGAGAGAGTAGTAGTAATGATCAAACACCCTGTATCGATTGGAAAAAATAAAGAAAAACGAAAATATAAACTCAATTCTTTCTTCGAGAAAGACCCAAAGAAACAGGCTAAATGTATTTTCAAGTTTCATTTTCAGTTTTTTATTTTTCATTTTTTTTTCGATTGTCAGCGCGCCCAAAAACATGTTTTTGTCTTGTTGCTTTTTTTACTTTACTTTTGTTTTTTCCTTTATATTTCATTCATCATCATCATCGTTTTCGTCAATTTTTTTTCTGGGTTATATCGTTGGGCGTCACAATGTATATTCGTCTACGTGTCTTCCTATTAATTTTTTCTGTTTTCTTTCATTTCTCTTCGGCATAACAAACAACAAACGACTATGTAATATTCCTCTTTTTTTATGATTATTATTATGTAACAATCATAATAACCGAAAATAATAATAATAACAAAGAATAACGATAATAAGGACCTTGGAAAATTTAATTAAGAGCTTTATTATTGCCTGTTTGCCTGCCTGCATGTTATTCATTTTTTTATTTTGGCCCAATGATGATGACGGAGAATAGAATTTAACAAAACAAAACAAAAAATGAAATGAAATATAATTTGCTTACGTGCGCATGTTATCTCTATCGGTTTTTTTCTTATGAATTTTTTTGTTTTTCTTCAAACCAAAGTTTTTACAATGTGGAAAAAGAATTTTTTCTTATTGTTATTGTTCACATACTTTGATTATCATTTACATATTATATATTGATTAAATTATGAAATTTTCATATGAATTTTCAAAATTATTTTTTTTTTGTTTCCAAAAAAATTTTCATTATCGTATTTCAAATAAGCGAAACGAAAAAAAAGAAGAAAAGAAAAGAAACACCAAAAAAACGCCTTTCATTCATTTTTTTTTTGAAAATCAGTTCAGTTGAAAATTTTTTGAATAATCAATTGAGAAAAAAGATTGATGTTCTCCACACACAAAAAAAAGATGATGATAATAATGATAATGGAGAAAAAAACTAGACGAAACTTTTTTTTTCTCAATCAAAATTGGCTTTTTTGTTTTTTTTGTTTCATCATCACATCGTTTCAATTACAAGGCGACCCGAAAGAGAGAAGCGAAAAAGATTTTCCACCGAAAAAAAAGAGAAAAATTCCATTATCAGTTTGAAATATTGTTTGGTTTGGTTTTGGAATTTTTTTTCTTTGCAAATAAAATTAATGTGCAAGTAAAATATGCCTCCACTTTCAATTTACTCCTTTTTTTCTACTTCTTCTTTTTGTTAAAAATCAAATTCCATTCATGTTGAGAAAGAGAAATTTGAAAATTTTTTTTCCCAACAACATCCACAGTTCAATTAATTCAATCAATCGATACGGATGTTCTCTCTCTCTCTCTCTCCCTCTTTTACGAAACTCAAATTGAATAATAATGGTTTGATGATGATAATGATGATAATTAGCTTATTTTTTCATCATTTAAAAAAATATTCAATTCTTTTTCATTTTCTTTATTTTGCAAGTCGAACGAAAAAAATATTTTCGAGAAAGTTTCTTTGAAAACACAAGTAAGTAACGTTACATAGCAAATACAAAAATTGTATTATTGTGTAACAATCTGTTTTCTATTTTCGTTTGGTTGGTTGGTTGAACCGATAAAATTGGCCATTTAAAATTGAGTTAAAATAATAATAATGAAAAGAATTCCGAATTCTTTTCATTATTATTTTTTTTAGAAAATTCGTTATTCTTTCATCATCATTATTATTTTGTTATAAGTCAGGTTTGTTTGTTTGTTATCATTCATTATATTTGTTTCGTTTTGAAATACAGAATCTTTCTTTTTCTGGATTCAAAAATGGATGTTATATATTTTCGTTTCAATTTCAAAATTCAGTCACAATCAAATCAAACAAAAAAGTCAGTCAGTCAGTGTTTGTTTGTTTGTTTTGTTTGATTTTCTTATCCTTACCGTTTTTATTATTATTATCATTATTATTATTAGTTTTAGCAAGATACACTTTGTAACAAAAAAAAATTGTAAATTTCAATGTTGTTTTCCTTTCATTCATTCGTTTGTTTGTTTGTTCGTTTAATACAAATGGGAAAAAGTTTCGTTTTGTTTGATTTGATTTAAGCTTTTTGGAAAAGAATTTGCTTTGTTTCGTTTTTCTGTTTGTTTATATGAAACATATCTTTCGGAAAATCCAACAAATAGTAAAAAGAAAGGGATGTAAAAACAATAAAAACAAGGTAAAAAACAAAACGATAAAACAATGATCATTATTTAAAAAATGCCAGGTTATTTTTCTTTTTTTTTACAAAACACCTACACATACACAGACAAACAGTAAAACAAGATGTTTGCTTTGTTTTGTTCAAGTGATGATGATATTATTGTTTGTCAGTATCATTTGTCATCTGAAAAAGAAGAATAAAAACAAAAGTATTTTCGGTATTTCTATTTTATTGTGCTCAAATAACAATAATAATAATGACTATCATCCGAGAATTGTAATTTTCATTGTGTTTTGTTGTTGTGATGGTGTTTTAGTTTTGTTTTAATAAAGAAAAAAAAACAATGCTTCTTTATGGATGATCTCTGCAGAATCTCCTCTAATGATGTTATTAAAGTTTTTTTCTTTTGAAGCAAGAAAAGTTTATCTTTTTTAATTGTAATTGATTTGGATTCAGTATTAGTTTTGTTGTTGTTGTTGTTGTTGAAACACATAAGGCAGACGTAATGTTTTAAAGTTAAGATCAACAACAAATTTTGTTGATAATTAGCCAATTTTGCTTCAAACATTGCTACAAGATTCCTAATTATAATTAGTCAAAACTAATAACCTTATATAACTTGGATCATCACACCCTAGACGGCTTATTAATTTTTGTTAACCACATTCAACAACAACAACAGAAAGAAAAATCCTTGGAAAAATCTCCAATAATAATAATGATAATCTCTAGAAACTGGATACTGTTTCCTTGAAGTGGAAAAACAAACAACAAGATTATTTCAAATCGTAACAAATATATCATTTGGGCAAAAAAAAATAAATAAATAAAGTTAATATATCTATTTTTCCATCTCCATTAATAAATCATTCAAATTCATTCATTTTTTTCTTCAATGAAAAATCCTTGTTGTTGTCGTTGTCAGGATTTGATTCAAACTAATCAATAAAGAAACCAGACGTCTATGAAACACAAAATAGAAAAAAATCACTTGATAATGATTTGTGTGTGTGTGTGTTATGTTTCATTGATGATTTAATTTATTTCTAGTGATAATCATATATGATGACTATAACATAATAAATAAAAAAGACTTTTTATGTTGATGATTTAGTTAGTATTAGATAAATCTAATATATTCTATGCCTATTACACACACAAACACAGAATATTCTTCTTTTCGTCGTTTTCATTATTCTTCTTTATCATAATGAATAACAAATGAGCAATGAATTTTTTTTTTGTTGTTGTTGGTAGTGTTCATCATCATCATTTTGATTTCCGTTGAATTTTGTAAAAATGAAAAATTAAATTACAAATTAATTTGCATTTTTTTTTCTCGCTACAGAAAAAAATGATAATGATAATTACTATATGAACTAATAACTAACTGAAGAATTTGAGAAACAGAATATTCTCTGTTTTTTATCTTTATCTTTACAACGATTTTTTTCATTCATTCTTTTCGGGAATAAATTATTCGACGACAACGGCTAAGGAGTGAAAAAAAATGAAATTTTTTTTCTTTTTAAAATTTTTCCAAAATGAAATTCTGTACTCATTAGATTCTGAATTTTTTTTGAGGGAAAAACCATCTGGTTCTACCACTTTTGCTGTGTGAAGATTGAATTAGCTTAGATAATTTATCCTATCGGCTAATGATGATGATTTTTTTTTGTTATTTCAGGAAATTTTCCCATCAAATGACTTTTTTTTCGGGAAAATTTTTTTTCGGATCACAAAAAAAATCAATATCTGAACGAATACATCACTATTGAAACTTGTAAAAAAAAAGTTTTATCACAGGAAAAAAGGAATAATAACGTCATCATTATCGTAATAATCATGTTTTCGTTTACATAAATAAACAAACAAACAACCAGAAAAACTTTAAAAACAGAAAAAAATTTCATATTCATTTATGCAATAACAAACAAACAAACAAACATTCATCATATCTGTTTCATTTTTTAATCTTTATTTCGATTGAAAAAGAAAACTAAATGTTACTGAATAATGTTTGATTGTAATGATAATCAAATGGATCAATCTTCTCCTCTCTCTTGATTTTAATTTGAATTATTAAGTATGTTTGGTTTGCTTGTTTGTTTGTTGATGATAAATAATGAGAATTTGTTTACAAAAGTTTATAAATCGAATCAATTATACCACGATATAAATATTTGAGTTTGAAAAGTGAAAAAAAATTTTCAATTTTTGTTGGAAAAGTTTTCTTTTCGACAGATGAAAAACGATGACAACAACAACTGAAAAAATAATGTTCATTAGGATGATTATCAGGTTGATGTTGATATTCGCCGAAAAACGAAAATAAAAAACAGGAATGTTTTCATGAAATTCGAGAATTCTTCTTCCACCAAAAAAACAAACAAACAAACAAAACATTCCTAAGCTATCCAATAACTACATGACTATGATGTGATATGATATTTATCGTTTTTTTACCCGAAAAAAAAATTCAAATTTCATTACATCGTTGTCGTTTTCAACGAATTACAAACATATCATTACTATTATTCTTCGGTTTTTTTATCGTTATCAAAAAAAAAATAATGAATAATGTTGGTTTTTTTCTGAATATTAATTAAGATAATTCATTCATTCATTTTCTTTGGAATTCAATCATCTATGAATGATAAATATTCATTACTTTTTCTGTTGTTGTTGTTGTTGTTGATCACTTTGGTTTTGGTAATGTTTATTTTTGCCGTTTTTTTCACATTGGCCAATGGCCAGCGACTTGGTCAAACCATTTTTGCAATGAGTGAAAAAAAATTATTTAAAACTTTTTTTCTTGTTTGTTTGTTTGACGTGTTTGGAATGGATTTTTTCTTCTGCTGTTATTTAATGCCAGCCAGAAAAAAATTCTGAAAACTAGAAAGCTAGAAAAAACAACAAAATTAATTGAATTGAAGAAATTATTATTGGATTTTTGTTGTTGTTGTTATTTCTCGAAGTAATGATCACTATCACTTTTTATTGTGTGTTTCATGTTCTATTGGTAGAATTTTCGGTTGTATACTTGACTTGAAAATGGTTAAAAAAACAAAAACAAAAAAAAACTTTATCATCATTACTTTTTCAACAAAGATTCGGCACCAGAAAAAAAAACACTCGAATTTTTTTTCAATAGTGAACTTTTTTTTGTTGTAATTCAAAGAAAAATTCGAGAATTTCATGAAATTGAGTTTGGGTGATGGAGAGAGAGAGAGAGAGAGAGAGAGAGAGAGAGAGAGAGAGGGG